TCCACACAAACCAACACTTGCGCCATACCATACTGAAAACATCAGTTTTCAAGGCACCAATATGTGTCAAGTACTTTAAAGCACACAGTTGAAAATATTTTTCCAGAAAATTAAAAGCAGACAAAGTAAGAGCATGCAGAATGTAGCCTTAGGCCATTGGAGCACTAAGTTTTCTTTTAGATTATCTGTAGCAGACTAATCCATTTGCACATAGCTGGTTTGTCACCTGTACAGACCACTTCAGAGCTGTGTTTCTCACTGAACTATGCCCATCCAGCCAATTATACTCATTCTTCCTGATCAATCAAAAACATTCTCTAGTCATTCCTAACAGGCTGAAAACAAAAGGCTGACTGACACATCACATCTGTAACCCCACAAAACTGCCTGGAACATACAACCAGCCAATGCACTTACAATTAGCAGACAAGTGGGTGCCTCGTGACTGAGCACTTACAGTGTTAAGTCATTGTTGCAAACTATCTAGCATTATTAGCACCCTCCCAGAAGGACAGAGGACCACGTGCTGCGCGTCACCTGTATGATGGGCGACATGTTGCCCTCCTCCTCGCGGTCCATGAGCAGTGGCATGAACTTGTCGATGACGCTGGGCTCGATATCGCCGCGGTAGTTCCGGGATATCAGCACCTGGCAGAGCGAGCAGCGTCACAGCACCATCTCACCACTGATACAAACGTGACTCCATCTCACCACTGGTGCAAATGTGACTCCATCTCACTGCTGGTAAAAACGTGGCTGTTGCCAGGTATGTTGCCACACTGTCATGGGCCATGACCAGTAAACAGAGAGTACAGCAACATGGCCTATAGGAGATCAACATAGGGCTATACCAAGGGTCCCTGTCACTTTAAAATGTCTGGCTTTCAGAGCATGCTTCTGGTACATTGTAAAGGATAGTACAGATTGGTCTATTTGTTGCCTTAACCATATGCCAGACAATATGTTGTATCATCACAACAAACCTCCCGACACTAGTTGGTAATAAAAGCATATACTTGGGAACTTAAATTAATTATGGCTGGTCACACACTCTCTCACTATGCCATCCTGATCTGGTCATCATCACAATACAAGCAATAATCCAGGGTTCTTACCTTTCCCTTGGAGTCTAAAAGATATATTGATGACACAGACATGGCTGCTGAATATATGATCTTCCTAAAATCTAGATGGCATGCAGATTGTCACACCTGTGAAAATGAAAACAGGCAATGGTGGATCAGGGGTGACAATACATATAATGGGCAATGCTGGCATGTCTGCTGCAGTCAGAATGTGTCTATGCAATTCATTCCAACTGTCCTATGAATGATGTGGGGGTATTCTAATAACAAATTACTGGAAAGATTGTAGCCATACTATGACTACAGTCAAAAACATATCCGAACCACATTGTAAGTATCAATCAGAAATAAAGGCCCTGATCTGAATGTCAAATAACAGTGTCATATATGACAGTGTTATATATGACACAACACACACATAAGTGTGTTTGGGATATATATCAGACACAATTTCATTAGTACCACTATCTGCCACACCAAAGCAAGCCAAAGTAACTTTCCTTTTGCAATGAAAAGAACTGAAGCAGTTAATTAAATCTTCCTGACAGTGATACCCCTTGGGCCTTTGGATGGGCAGGGCAGAATATTTACTGATACAGCTGCAACTATATGCCAGCCTCTGAAAGACTTCTCCCACCACTGGTGCTTTTAAGAATAGTGCATCATCAAATGTTGCAAACATGCTCATAGGATATGAGATGGTGCACTTCAGTGCCCCATGGTGCCTTTGGTGCCCCATGGTGCCCTTTAGAAAGGCATGCCATTTGGATTTACAGAGTGCACCTGAGTGAGCAAAGATGCACCTGGATACATAGAAAGATCTAGAAACCAAGTACATACTAGCCAGCAATGATGTTTGAAACTATCAAGCAATCTGGGTCATAATGGCTTTACATCCAAATTGACATGATGTCACTTGCAGCAATGCAGTTGAGTTCCCCACGGAATACATTGTGGTCCCATGAACGACATTCAGTTGTTGAATATTTGGCACCCATAACATTTTGAATTGCTCACTAAGATTTCATACATGCCTAAACAGACAAACTTATTCTGCCCAAATCCAATGTCGTAGCAATGATGTTGACAAGTTGTAACAAGATGTCAAGTTATACATGTCAAGTACATATATCAGCAACTATTTGCTCTCACTAACTTAATTCATGAGAGAACACCTGTGCATTTATCATTCATTTCATCAAAGTGACTGACTATACAAAGTGATGTAATTCTTTTTCTGTAAAAACAACAGAAACTATATTTAAGTAGTCAGTAGTTAGCTCTCAACCCTGACCAATGGAAATGGTAATCCCCCAGTAGCCAGGTACCAGAATGCAAAAAATTCATGTCATATCAAACATGTCTGGTGACACTGCCATGTGTAGAAACATCCAGTGACAATTTCAGAGTCATCACTTTAATCCCATGCAGAGTTCAGTGGCACAGTCACCACTAATGTATAGGCCAGGGTTTCAAAGACAATTTCAGGCAGCAATAATACCAAAATATTGTTAAGGAGATTATTTGAAAATGCATACAAAATTTGGCCTGGCACATAAATACCCATTAGGCACATAAATGCCCCTGGTTTGTTCACCAAGTTAAAGCAGGCATCAGGCACAGTGGATGGAGCATTGACATACTGGCCAGGCACAACCCTGTGCCCAATGCACATGCAAAGGTAAAGATTTAGCTCCTGCTCATACAAAGATCACTAGATCACTAGATAAAGATCACTCCTGCTCATACAAACCTACTTTCGGATGATTTTGAAGTACATATCTATGGCAAATTTTGCGAGGATAATTATTTATGTTTAGTATTGGTTCACTCCTGCTTCAGCATACTGCATCATACTACCCCAAACTATTACACAATAATTATGGTAGCATTATGTTAGCAACACAGCACACATCAACAACTTGGGCACTGTTATCCCTATGTCATTGCACAATGTGCAAAGACGGCATCAGGGTTCTTTCTTTTTGATGAGCACATTAGTAACAAATGAAAGCACAAACCAAATACAGCCAGCAATTTCTGTAATTTAACTGACCTAACCTGACCATTTCTTGCTACTGCAATAGGAAGCTTCACCCCATGCTCAGCTGACTCATCACTCACTAGCTTACTAATCTACCAATCATCAATCACCTACATAATTTCACTTATGAGCAATATCACCAATCTAAGATTATCATTACTTTGCATCTGAGAGTAAAATGATACAATTCCACCATTTTAGTACTGGTTGGTATACCGTGGTTCCAAGATGGCTGGTGCAGTACTTTAAAGATTTAACCCAAACCTTTGAAAGGATAGGTTTCTGGAATGAGCTTATACTAACTAAGCCATAATGTGTGTGCGTATGTTATTGGGGCTTTGTGACAAACTTCACTGCTGAGAATATATGTTGTCACCCGCACTCACCCTGGCAGGAAGAGCGCACACCACATGGAATAAAACCCCACACCTATGACTTCCCAGACACAGTGGTTGATGCCTCAGTATTGCTTGTGTGGCCCTATCCCCTATGACTTGATCAGCAATTCCAGACAACCTGTCAAGTTCGGTGATTTAGTGACAAGTTTAATATGCTGCGGTGTTAGCACAGTCCATCCTGCACTCTCCCCTGACATCAACTGATATTCTGTGTTGCCAATACAACAGGCTACAGGCCATATCTGTCAAGGACAAAATAGTTGATGCCTTAAATGACTTGCACCAACCAATCCAAGCCAACCCTGCCACAAGTGTGTGGATCAAAAGGCTGACACTTTGACCAACTGAGCCATCTGGATGGACCATAGTTGTCTTACACATATATCTATTTTGAAAGGAGACACAAAATTAAGTTTATGCAAACTACAGAAGAAGAGGCTTAACAAATGGTGGGTGTATGCCACATTTTCCTATAGATTCAACTAAAATTGGCAATATAAAAATGTCCAAAACTTCGAGTGTTTAAAACTTTGAAAGACGGGCAACTGGCAGTGCTAACCATCCTTGGAAATTCATCCACAAAGATATGCTGTACTTCTCGAATTGAGGTTACAATGTTCGGCAAATGTTAGTAACCATATTGTTGAGCATGAAAAACAGACGAACTATCGCGCTAAGTGGTTTACGAAATACTATTCATTGTACTCCAAAGTGCAGTGCAATTCCTCCACACCTGCGGTCAATCATACTTGAAGGAAGATGCAAGTCAAAATTTTAACCCAAATACACTCCATAAATTAGCGCAAAACACTCACAAAACGCCCCCACCCTTCGCACCTCTCAACACGCGACGCTTAAGTCACGGCCTGTTCGATATCATCTGCCCTGAGATTATCCACTGCTAAATAATGCAGGGCGGCAGGTCGTAGACCTCCTATACTGAAGCTGATTGGTTACTGGAGCCCACTTGCCAATCACCTTGCGCTATTTCAGCAGTTTACAAACAATAGGAGGCAGGATGCGTACAGGACCCGTGCACAAGTGTAGTGTTTACGCAATATCGTCGCAAATGCGCCAGAACACATCAACCAAACACTTTTAGTCATGGACAAAATATAACGGTGAAGACTCGGTGCATATTCTCGGATAGGTGGTTGAACACAACCCATCTTTGATAAATATTTCAGTCGATGGAATTAAGAAACATTATTTTGATATCTAACAACGACTGAAATGTGTCATATGGAATGTGTCATATGGAAAATTGCATATGTATGTGTCATATGGAAAAATGTGTCATATTTCCAAAGGGAAAAGCAGTCACGAAAACAAAAGTCCTGCCCATTGCTATGAAGCTGTGACCTTGAGGCGAATATGACAAATGCGGTAGAAAATTCGGCGTAAAGACAACAGTGTCAGCCGTCGCTAGCGGTATGGCGTGTTGTGTGGTTCAGTTATGCACGTTCCCATCAATTAATGTTTATGTTCGAGAATTGTGTAGGCGGACTGTTTTACCCTTGCCATTTTGAGAATGATTCAATTTGATTTCTCTTGGGAGCTGAAAGTAGCGTTCTTCTAGTGGTGAGAGAGAAGGCATGTTTTCTGCTCCAGGACATCCATCTCTGTTCGCAAAGGGATGGGTCTGTTGTTGAATTTGTTTAAATGTTGGAAATTAGGTACTCCTGTTGATCTCTTCCACATTAGTTGTGTGTGCCTGTGGAAGGCCCAACTTTTCAGCATGCACTCATGTAGTTAAACAGATGTGAAAGTCAATGTGTGATTTGCACAAATGTGTCAGCAAGCTCTAAGCTCCACAGACCAGAGTTTTTATGAAAGAACAAGCTGCTGCTTATTTCACAAGTGGGGAAAGGAAAGACCCATGCTTTCTTTTCTCACCATGTGCAGACAACATTGACTATATGTATGATTGCATGGATTGTGCATTCTCCAGTCAGTAAAATGTGGCACAGTTTGGAGAAATGTTGTCCTCAGTGTGGCTGTGATCTCAGTTATAGCTAGGATTTTTAGTTCAATGGTGGTAAGGTTTTAGCTGCTGCTTATGAAGTGGGATATTGTAATTACAATGCATTTTGTTTTGTGCTACTGTAATGCCATCTGCAATTTAATTTTTTGCTGCTGGCCGAGCTTCTGAGACCCATTTAAAGCCCTTAATTTACTGTGAACAGTAAATCTAGCACCAAATTACTTAACTCAAGAAGGCAGACAGAGTCCAGCTGTTGCATATAGAATTGTTGGCCTCTTGCCATTAAGGCATGAGCTTCTGGCTGTTGGCATATGGCTTTGCCATATATATATATATATATATATATATATATATATATATATATATATATAATGTATATCATATCTCAAATGAAACAGAGATAGTGGCCAGAAATGCTACATCTCAGCAACATTATGTACATGTCATGTGGTGAATGACATGTAAAGACTGGGATATAGCTCTGCTATATTTATTATGTCCCTCAAATGGAACACATATACTGGGCAGGTATGCTCAATGTCAACAACTACCAAGCCTTTCAGTCTTGCTTGATGCTGACTGATTAATGCCCCACTTACATAATGGCTACATACTAGAGTGACCTTGTAACCTGCGGACCAGAGTGACCTGACCTAACATGACCTCAATCAACATCTTGCCATATATAACTTGTAAACTAGGGCATTTTTGACCCCTAAATCTAGATTCAAATGATAACTTCATTTTCAGAGGTTTTTGCCAATTCAACCTTCTAAAGATCAGATAAATTCATTTACCTGATGTCATGGTGCAGTTTTTTAACTAGAAACAATGTCAATATAAATCTGACTGCGATGGGAAGTCTGAGAGCACTTAGGACACAGTTCTGCTGATATTCTGGACTCCCCTGATGACATTTTTCATGATTTAGTTCTGGCTAAGCAAGTGTGTGCAAATGGACCCCTCCCCATTCAAGACAGTTGTCACTCCTGCTGCGTGCAGTGCCCACATATATTGATTACACCTGAACATGTTGCCTCTGATGTAACCAGGGTTATTGTTTTGAGCGCGGGTGCAGAGTGTTGTGTCTGGCAGTCTGTGTCGCACTTCCGGCGTCAGCAGGCAGTCCAGCCTTGGGAGCGCGCAGCCGGGCCGTGTAGTCCCCGCTCAATCGGTACAACTGATTCTGGTCTGGGCCCATGCCAATGCAGACACTCTGTGGCGGACTTGATCCCGACGCTGGTGACGGGATCGATTCCTCCACCGAGTGTTATTGGGGAATGGATGAAACCAATACCGGACTCAGGGCAGGTCCGCAAGGGATGTCGCTGGTGACCCCGGCTCATTCCAACCTGTCACTCTGAACCGCCAATCGTTCCATCTCCTGTCGGTTGCGTGACCTCCACCCAGCAAAGACGTGGGCCCTGAAGTTCAAAACGTGTGGGCTGGGGAGCGGATTGCCAACCGATGCTAGTCTAAGCCGTCGGAAGGTCGACGAAGACTTAAGCATTAATTTATCTTAGTCAGAAGTCATTAATGCAATCATTGTATGATTAACTGACGGGGTTTTCCGGCACTCTCCCCAGATCCCCTGCGATACGTGTCACGATGTCTGGCGTTACTCAGTTCAAGAACTGCCGCATTTTGTACAATCACCGGCTGATCCGTGAAGATCTCTGGGTAGAAGATGGGCTTATCATCAATCCCGAGGAGCTTTTCTACAAGCAGAAGCGCCCTCCAACCTTCCAGGTGGACTGCAAGGACTCCATTGTGGCACCTGGCTTCATAGATGTTCAGATAAATGGTGAGACAAGCGCGGTAAGGCATCGGCGTTACGCTTCATAATAAATGGTTGTCTTTGTTGCGGTTATGAGAACGTTTGAGAATGTAGTGCTCTTGATTACGTCATAAATGGTGGGGAGGCTCCGCATATTTTAGCCCTCTCACATCTATGGTGTGAAAAATCGTGAGACGTGAGAGAGATGTATGAAACGTGAGAAATCGTGTTCATGCTGCGTTAAGTAACCGCAAACTAAGCACTCACATGTGCTCGTGTTATGCTCTCCAAACGGGAGATACCATTTGACGTTCCAAAAGGACGACTTTCATGCTCGTCATCGACGAGTATGAATGGGGATCAGTTTCTCACGACGCGACCCCCGTTCAGTAGGTGACAGCACTGCTTCGGCTTTTTGCCAGGGGATTATTGTTCCGCGGTTGCCCGGGACGTATGGCGCCCTCTCGCTCATCAGGAGGACGTCGGGTCATCCCACGCAGTTTGCCAATGTCCAATTGTCAGCTTGGGTCGCTTAATGGACCTGCTAAGCTCTGCATCCGGCACAGTGATTGGTGTCGCCCAGTGGCTCCGTGTAAGCCTGGTGCGACTCTGTGTTATGACAAACACCTGGTCAGTGCCTTCACGCCAGTGAGACGAGCGAGAGCTGGACTGATCATCGTTTGTGTCTCGCTGGTCCATGTCGCAACCCGCAATAGTCGGCCATCTATGGAAGCGCGTCTGCATGCCAGCGGACGCGCGGCGTCGACATCAGCGCGCGCGCGTGCCTACGACGTGTCGTCACCCCGCTGCTGGCAGGCGGGTTCGGGTTCGATTTCGCGTTCGACGAGGACAAGACAGAGGACGCGGTGTCGACGGTGGCACGAGGCATCTTGGCGCACGGTGTCACCTCCTTCCTGCCCACCGTCATCACCTCCGCACCCAGCGTGTACCGCAAGGTCCGTTCTTGGCCCGCTCTCGATTTACCCGGGACGGCTGGGCTCGGGCACGGCCGACCGGCCATGGCTTCGGGGTGGCATGCGCTGTGTTTGTTCGTCCAGAATGTTGCACTCTCCATGGAATCCTGCTTCATAGCTGTGCCACGACTGACATCTGGACGAGTGTGTCCTGCTACGACACTGTGGGGCCCGGCTGGCGGTACGCCCGGAGCGTCAGTGCCTCCTGTTACGACACTGTGGGGCCAGGCTGGCGGCACGCCGTGCCGTCTGTGTCCACCGTTACGACACGGTGGGACCCGGCTGGCGGCACGCGGGCCGTCTGTGTCTCCCGTTACGACACGGTGGGGCCCGGCTGGCGGCACGCGGGGCCGCCTGCGCCGGTCGCTCAGCGGCCGTGTCGTCCGTCGCCAGGTGTTGCCCCTGCTGCGGAAGCAGCCGGGCGGCGAGTGGGGTGCCGGCGTGCTGGGCGCCCATCTGGAGGGGCCGTTCATCAGCAAGGAGAAGAAGGGCGCCCACCCCGTGCAGCACATCCGGGAGTTTGACGAGGTGAGGCTCTGCGGTGTGGTGGTGTCAGCACACGGGACAGTTTGACGGTCTGGGGGTCCGTTGTGTGGTGGCGTGGTGGCGACGTCGCCTCCTATCCGCGGTGGAGGAACTTTGGAGGGTGGGATGCTGGGCTGTTTGGGAAGGGGCTGCACTAGTGGGATGTCCGCCAACCATTGCGGACGCGGCGTGGAAGGGAAACACAAATTTGCCAGATCGTCATCTTGTTGGCAAGACAATGCGCGCATGGCTTATGGATCATTATTGTTGGCCCATAAAGAAGGGTAATACAAATGTTGGCCACATGTTTGGGCATGGGATGACAGGGCTCCATGCCTTGTACTCACACAGCCATGCCACTGTCGGCAGGGATTCGTCACCTTGAAGGACGTATACAGGGCTCCATGCCTTGTACTCACACAGCCATGCCACTGTCGGCAGGGATTCGCCACCTTGAAGGACGTATACAGGGCTCCATGCCTTGTACTCACACAACCATGCACTGTCGGCAGGGATTCGTCACCTTGAAGGACGTATACAGGGCTCCATGCCTTGTACTCACACAACCATGCACTGTCGGCAGGGATTCGTCACCTTGAAGGACGTATACGGCTGTTTAGACAACGTCGCCATGGTGACGCTGGCTCCTGAGCTGCCGAACGCGCTGGACGCCGTGCGGGGTCTGGTCGACCGCGGCATAGTCGTCTCTGTTGGTAAGCCAGGCGGCGTGCAGTCTCCGTCGGTGGGCCAGGCGGCGTGCCGTCTCCGTCGGTAGGCCTGGCGGCGTGCCGTCTCCGTCGGTAGGCCAGGCGGCGTGCCGTCTCCGTCGGTAGGCTAGGCGGCGTGCCGTCTCCGTCGTTAGCCCAGGCGGCGTGCCGTCTCCGTCGGTAGGCCAGGCGGCGTGCCGTCTCCGTCGGTAGGCTAGGCGGCGTGCCGTCTCCTCTGGTAGGCCAGGCGGCGTACTGTCGCAGTTTCGTCCGCCTGTCACTGCCGTTGCTCTGGCTGGCCTGGGGCTGAGACCAGCTGTGCGTACCTGGCAGTCTGCGGCTCTGCTGAATGAATCACCATGGATATAGTTGTAGCATGTCCCCACTTTTGACGCCGTCTCTTGTGCGCTCGTCTCCCGTCGTGTGTGCATGCTGCTCAGCCGGTCCGCGCCATTGCAGGTCACTCGGCCGGCTCGATTGTCGACGGCGAGCGCGCGTTCGAGTGCGGCGCCCACTTCATGACGCACCTCTTCAACGCCATGACCAAGGTGCGAGGCGGTGGCTGGCCGGCGGGCCACCGGCTCACGAGACTGCGCGGATCGGCCCGGCGCTGTCGGGCGCGGTCAGCTGTCGGCCGGAGGCAGCGGAAGCCGCTCCAGCGTGTGGGACGGCCGCACGGCTGATTTGGGGCTGGGCTGGGCTGACGGTACTGTCGCCGGTTGAACAGTGCTGTCCGCTGATCGCCTTTGTGATCCCAACGAACTAGGCTGAAAAGTGTTTTTTTTTTTGAACGACCGGAATCGAAACCTGGACTCGATCGGTAGTCTGCGTCCGGCGTGAGATGGAATTCCGGGTTGACAATAGGATATTCCGGATCGCAATTGGAAAATCCGGATAGAGGTCGGGCGGTAGTGCTAATGGAACGCGATTGCCATGGAGACAAACGCATGAGCCGCCCGTGCCGGTCAGCACTCACCTGTCTCGACGCCGCAGTTCCACCACCGTGACCCGGGCATCATCGGCATGCTGACGTCGAAGCGGTTGCCGGTTCAGGAGCTGTCGTACGGCATCATCTCAGACGGCATCCACACGCACCCGGCGGCGCTCCGCATCGCTTATAAGACGCACCCTACCGGTGGGTGCGCCGTCGCCACCGCCGCCTCCTCCGCTGTCGGCTGGCCGGCGGGGTGGAGACACAGTTGGCGCGTGTGGCGTCTGTGTGCGCGCAAGCGCAATGATAGAGCACCCGGTTCACGGTCACTGGAGTGTTCAGCACAGACTTACACGCGCCCACAGGGAATGTACTTGTATTTTCTGGGCGCGGAGTACAAATCCCGCCTTCGTAGAGTGAGTGATGCAGTAATGTCTGGAAGGACAATAAAGTATGCTTAGTTTGGAGGACCGTCATTAATTCAGGATTCTCCATCGTACGCTTTCCGTGTTAACGTAAGCGTAGAAAAGCTGTAGCGCAGCCAAAGCTGCATAGTTCATTTACCATCGCCCTCGCCCCAAGCTGGTTGTACAAGATATTTAGGTTTCATTTCCACCAGCGAGCACCAATCTCCCCGCGCTGTTATCTACGTCTATTTGTGCATCGGACCTCCAGCATGGCAGCGATGCTGCGCGTCTCATGCTGACAGACCAATCGCTCTATGTTAATACGAAGTTGTATACAGTATAGGTGCCATCGGGGCGGACGGCTGTTGCGGGACCGCCCGGTGGCGCCCCTGGTGGCTGTGGGGCCACCGCACGATGTTGGGCGCAGGGCCGTGGCCGCGTCCGGCCGATGCGTGACTCCCTCGGCCGCGTCCGGCCGATGCGTGACGCCCTTGGCCGCGCCCGGCCGGTGCGTGACGCCCTCGACCTGCCGCAGGCCTGTGTCTGGTGACCGACGCCGTGTCGGCGATGGGCCTCGGCTCGGGCCGCCACCACATCGGCGACATGGACGTCGAGATCCAGGGCGAGCGCGCCGTGATCGCCGGCACGGACACGCTCTGCGGCTCGATCGTCACCATGGACGGCTGCATCCGACACTACATGCACTCGGCCCGTTAGTGCTCAGTGGCTGCTCCGCAGTCTCACCCGTGGGGTCTGCGGTGGAAGAGTCGCGGCCTCGAGACCGGGAGGGTTCTTCGCAGATGCAAAATACTGTGGGCGTATGAACCTGATGGCCGGTTTAAAATAGTCGGCATTTTATGTGTTGGAGGCGATGGCGGCGTTGTGTTCTGGCTCAACTACCAATACAGGCTCCGATGATCGAATGGATCGCAGTAATGCCATGTCCCTCCATAAGATGTCACACCGGTACTCCCCCCCCCCCCCCCCGCCTCATCCATGTCCTACGCATTTTCTCCTTATCTCGAGCCCTTACAGCCCTGATTTGGGTGCACTTGTTCCCTGTCTGCGGCCCTGTCGACACGGGCTCGGCTAACACTGCGCTCGTTCGGCCGCAGGCTGCAGCACGGTGGAGGCGCTGGAGGCGGCGTCGCTCCACCCGGCCAGGGCGCTGGGCATCGTCGACAAGAAGGGTACGCTAGAGTTCGGCTCGGACGCCGACTTCGTGCTGCTTTCGGATGACGTGCACGTGCGCGCCACCTACATCAGCGGCAGGCCCGTGTTCACCGCCGACGGTCAGCAGTTCCTGCACGCGCCGGTCCTGTAGCGCGGCCTGCCATCTGGCGGGCGATCGGCGAACCCTGCACCGTGCGGGGAGAGCGGCGGCGGCGGGGCGCAGTCTGCGCGCCGGTGGGCTGAAAGCTCGGTGTAGAGGTGAAGGGGTGCTTGCGTCGGGTCTGGGGGTCAGGAGCATCCAGCTGCGGCGCGCGCTGCCTGCTGGCCGCTGACAAGGCGGTGCTGGTGATATTCAGAACCGTTGTGTTTTAATCAGTTGGTCTTATCGCGAGCGTAGCTGGGCTAAGCCATAGTTATCCAGTCCTAGTAAACGACCAGTCAGAATATGTATCGGGGTGTTGGCATCGACCACGACCATGCCGGGGGTTGGGATGGTGCCGGGTTTCGGAGCTGGTCTTTCAAGCATGTTCCTGTACGTTGCCTTTGGCGGAGCTGGTTACGGGTAGGAGCGAGACCTTGACTAAATTGGAGAAGTACAGCTGCCATGCCTTAGGAATGGTATGTGGCCTTGCAGTGTTTAAGCAAAACAGCCTATGTAGAGGCCATGAATTTCTCTGGGCTCCTTCATTTTACACTTGAAGGTAAATCTGGCACATAGTACCTAGCTTTGTATTGCGGTAACCGAGAAAACGCCATGTGGCGTGCCATAGCAGTCAGGAACGAGATGCCTCGCGGCGGGGGCTGAATCCCACACTGCCGCGGCCGCCTGGTCCTGTTGCTGCCATATTGATATTGCCCCTGAAGCTGCCAGATGAAGGCGGATGAACCACACACAAACCCCTGAACGCAACGGCTGCAGCAAACCTGTTCGTACTGCCGGAGTGTCAAGCCAGTTGGTTAATGACCTGCAGAGTGAAGTGACGAGTGTAATCAGCTTAGTCAGTATTTCCGATACCCTAGGGTCAGTTGACGGTCAAGGCAAAGCGCCAAATGCGGTTAGCTAAGTCTGAAGCTAAAGTTAAAGCATTTATAATGTTTAAAGCAATTATTGGAAGTTTGTAACCAACCTGATGATATTGTGTGTGCTTTGCATACATTAGAAGGCTATATTTGGATATATATATATATATATATATATATATATATATATATATATACAGATTCCACGCTAGTTGTCTTAAGTACAAGCACAATGCCCAGCTGTGTTCGTTGTTGGATGATATAATCGTTTCTAATAAGGCCACCACTGAATCTTTTTCAGCCTGTCCCAATACTGTGCTCGTTACAGAGCTGTGCAATTCGGAACGCTGTTTCGTTACGGTAGGCACAAAACAATACTCTGCTGGCTGACAGTCGATGCCTGCACTAGTGACAAGGTCCCTATCATAGCACTTTGTTTCCTTAGAATTCCGCCGCCGCCGCGCAATGACGGCGACCCTTTCGCGGAGCAATGTCAGCTGAGGCTCACTTAAACTAGCATACGAAGGGAACTAGTTTGACCTGTTGCTTTGTACTCTTGTGTGTGACATGTGTCGGTACGTACCCTACAGAAGCACATGGTATCTAGGACGCTGTCTATCAGGAGTGCCATGACTTCAGGTTCTTCCCACGTTTTGTACTTGAGTGCAATGGTGTGTCGTATTGCGTCTACAGTATGGATTGTTATCCGCCAGTGACGGTTTGAAAGTAGAAATGGAAAGACTGTTGAAAGGAGTAAAATCTTTGTTGGATTCTAGTCGGAAACAGTTGCTGTACGATCATGTTTGTATTGTTTTGTGCCGTTTCGTACACCAAATTAAGTACGTATCTGTCTTAATTTGTATACGCGCACTCGCCGCTTGCTTATGACTATTCAGTACAATATAACTGACAATTTTTTCCCGTCTTTCGTTCTCACTTTTCCCAAGTCTTTGTAACACCAGCACCGTAATTGAAGCGTTTTAATGCGGAATAAAAATAGGTTGTTAACTGGCATTCCGGTTCCGAACAGCAACATAGTGCCCAACGAAACTTGCACTCTTGGATGCCTAGTTTAGCCGATGCAGCCTCCAGCTGCAGTGGTTCCCAAACACGTTTCCCGTCGCAAAGTCAGGTGGAGATAGCCTTAGTGACCAACGATGGCTTGTCTGGCTGCTAGCCGTGGACTCGCAGACCAGTTTTTTTACATTTTCGAAATGTCTCGGTCGCGAAAACTCGGCCTCGACTGCGCTCTGTGCTGCGGCTGATACGACACCGCCGTTGCGATGCACGGTCTCCGTGCTGCGGCTGATACGACACCGACACCGTCGCATCGCACGGCCCACCGTACTGGGGCTTATCGGACACCCTCGTCGCATCGCACAGCCCACCGTACTGGGGCTGATCGGACACCCTCGTCGCAATGCACGATCCGCCGTACTGGGGCTGATCGGACACCCTCGTCGCAATGCACGATCCGCCGTACTGGGGCTGATCGGACACCCTCGTCGCAATGCACGATCCGCCGTACTGGGGCTGATCGGACATCCTCGTCGCAATGCACGATCCGCCGTACTGGAGCTGATCGGACATCCTCGTCGCAGCGCACGGCCCACCGTACTGGGGCTGATCGGACACCCCCGTCGCAACGCACGACCCACCGCGCTGTGGCCGATGCACCTCCATCGCGATGTGCTCGAATGAAGTGCCCGTGTCACTCTGTGTGTGATGACGTGCGTCGCCAGCGTCACCCAAGTGTCTCGAACTACGAGACAGTCTCAGCCTGTCAGCAGTGTCACGTCAGCATGTCACAGTCCATCAGCAGTGTCACGTCAGCATGTCACAGCCCGTCAGCAGTGTCACGTCAGCATGTCACAGCCCGTCAGCAGTGTCACGTCAGCATGTCTCAGCCCGTCAGCGGTGTCACGTCAGCATGTCTCAGCCCGTCAGCAGTGTCACATCAGCATGTCACAGCTCATCAGCAGTGTCACGTCAGCATGTCACAGCCCATCAGCAGTGTCACGTCAGCATGCCACAGCCCATCAGCAGTGTCACGTCAGCATGCCACAGCCCGTCAGCTGAGTAATGCCGACGATTTGGATCGTGGTGTGCAGGGTCATACACGGATGTTTGTGAACATAGTGTAATTTCAGTCAGCCAAAACGTGCTCAAAACTGCTCTGGAAATGGCCCGCAAAAAGTGGGGGAAGGGGGGGGGGCTCAGGGTCCCTTACGTGAGGCGAGGTAAGAGCAGTTGTAAGGGCGCACAGGGTAGGGTGGCTGCGGTAGGGCCACAGTCTGTATTGTGCTACACTGTTTTGCGGTCGTTTGAGTGAGTGGGGGAGGCTCAACCAAATTCGTAACCCTTAAGAATGGACAGCATATGCCTCCTGTGCGACTTCATTTTCCGTTCAAGATCACGAAGAAGTGATTTGGGCACATTATCCCTCGGTCAATGCACGAAAGGGGTGCGACAGCGACTCAGCAACCGCACCCAAATCCGAACACACGTGCTCCGTAGCGCGTCTATTACAGATGACCGCCTCGAATGGAACGGCTATCACTTACAAAATACCAAACGAGTACAGCTGCGCGTCCGCACCCACCGCCGGGTAACAACCAATCACAGGCTAGTTCTGATTCTCCGCCCTGGAAGATGAAACTAGAGTCTTGTCGCGTCAGCGTCACCCAGTTCAACAAAAACGGCCCGCCGGCTCTTTGTACGCACACACAGCATGGCAACGGAACTGGCGGCAGCAGCGCGCGCGCGCGCGGCCCACGCTGCGCAGGATTGACGCGGCGTGATGTCGGGTCAGCCGGGGTCACGGCCGGCAGGACGGCACGTGGTTGGATCGGAACATCTGTCCCCTGTCGACTGGTGGGACTGGGACGGGGTGGTTGGTCCTCACATGGACGCAGCAGTGGGACAGAGGGAGACACATTCATCCAGGGAACCGCGGCTGCAGGGGTACGCCCGTATGGGAGGTGGGTCAGAGGAGGTCGCGAAAAGACTGCACAGGGTGATAAGGAAATGTGACAGCATCCACGAACTTGCGTTTGTGGGTGCGGTAATTTTGTTGGCTGGAAGTCCACGTCATGTGCTGTCCTCACCAGTGCTTCACCTTGAGTCGCGTTTCTCATCGGCTTTCTCTGGATCTCGCACCTGACCGCACCCCCGCGTTGCCATTACCCGAGTCCGGAGCGAGAAAGCGGAGCCATTAGAGCGGGGTTGAGTCGTCATCCAGCGGCACCCGGCCGGGGCTCCAATGAACGCGCGAGCCGCTTTGGAACGGAGATGAGGTGAAGACGAGCGGACAACATTGAAGACAGCTCGAGAAGAGTTACCCACAATACGGATAGAGGGAAGTACAGCACGGGACGAGGAAACGGACACCCACGCACATCGAATACAGGAGAAATATCACACTGCATCCACGCACGGAACATACCAAGAATAGACAGTTTTAGCGGCGGCACAAGAGTAGACGGAGGCATGCGTTGAGAACATAAACACCACACGGTACAGAGCAGGCAGAATACCTGAGAACATATCTGGGTTAAGTCGAGGTTTAGGCTCTGCCAGTCGCCCTGCCCAAGACCGCGTCTCAGAGATTTCAGATTCTGTTACATAGGGTAGCCACACTCGAGCATGTTGGAATCGAGACCTTAGACCCGATAATAACTTATGTACCTGAGGGTGTTACGAATAATGTTTGATTTCTGAGTTTGGCGCATGAAAAGGGGTCAGCATTTGCGTGAGATGTTTCCATTTCGGGCCGTGCTTTTAAATTCCGAAGAGGCAGAGGTTTGTCTGAAACTAGTTGTATCACCGAGAACGTTATTCGTCTCATGACGGGAGAGCTAGCGTGTCAGAGTATACACTGCTTACTGTGATGTGGCTACGCATTTAGCACGAGAGCGAAAAGAGTGACAGGGATGACCGCAGGGATGAACCAAATTGCTACAGAATTCTGACCAGTGCTCTAGCTGTTTCGGATATCTCAGCAAGCTTACATCCAAGACTCACGTACCAACCTTTTTAACTGCACCTTTTGAACAGCTGCCGTCAAACAACTGTGAGGAATATAGTAACATTAGTAGATATTTCCAGTCCAGAGGGTGTTTGTAGTCCCGATTCACTGTAAAATGATGCGTCGTCAGGGGTGACTTTTCCATCATCAGATAAAATGACGGGTCGACGGGACTGAATTGTTTAAGCTCTGGAGACTAGCAGCGTCACCTGGGAACGCATGCTCGACTGTATCATGATATTCTCTCATAGGCTTCAAAAAATGTTACATGTCTTTCTATCATTTGAAGGCAAATGCCGCATCCTCTTGGGAATGAGCTCGGTGCCAGGTGCGAGTTAGTCAGACGGCCATTACGTGCATGTGTCTGGCTCACCAGCGTGTCTTAAATCTCCCGCTCTACTGAGGCTTTGCAGAGTATTTTGTGTTATATTACAGGCAGGTATACTACAAATATACTAGTGGCCTGTTTTGAGACCTCAAATATCACCCAACGCACTGAACTCAAAATACACCAGGACAAAGGTAATAAACGGCGACTGATGGCTTTTCCGCAGAGCTTAGTGCCTGCCTTCAAAAGAAAATTACATGGTATGACCTACAGAGGAAAGCAATGCCAACCTAAAGGTGAGCAAATACGAGATCACGCGTCCAGGCCTCGCAACATTCAGACGATAATACTGACAAAGTTTCCAACACTCCGGAAGGGTTTGGCGATCGCACATCACTGGGACGGACGGCCGCTCAGATGGTCACCTAGTGAGAGCTCTAGAATACTTGATGGCTGGATACACTGCTGGCAACCAACGTACTGGCGGCGGCGTCAGCACCCATACTGCCGCTCTGGACAGGTGGCACGTGACCTGTGCACTCGTACGTCGCTGCGCTCGGCCGCCCGCCACGCTCGCCACGCCGACGTATTATAGGAGGCCACATCCTACATAGATATACCCGACAGTACAGTTTGGCGTCACCCACACGGGGAATGTCGAAGGACTCGCCGCCTAGCGGAGTTCAGGCCTTCCTGACTCGCCGCACCGCGGCGCCACCGTCGAGCCTGTCCTCCCACATCCCCATTGCACATCCCGCGCCCGCTCGGCCGTCCAGCGGCGCACGTCCACCGTTGCTCAGGATGTCCGGCACAACCGTCCACCATCGCGCGGCCACGCGCGCCGCGTCGCCGACGAACTAACAGCTGCCTAGCGCCGCCTGGACCGGGCAGCGATCATAGCGCCGACACGGCGCAGCTTGAGTTGTGTTCGGACTCGCTAGGTGTCACTGTGACCGTTGCCGCCGTTGAGTCGTCACTGGCGGCTGGCGAGGCGCTGACGGACCGCGGCACCGACTCGGCCGGAGAGGCTGGAGTCAGAGTCGTAGTCGGCTCGGCTACGGACGGCTCGGCGCCGCCGACCGGCGCCGCGGTCTCGTTGGTCGGCGTCTTCATGTCCAGGATGTTGTCCGCCTCGGGCTCGGCGTCGACCTGCGTAGAAATGCGGCAGGTGTAGGGCATACCGTTTCTCGAGTTTCCCATCGGGGAAAACGGCCTCGGACCGGGCCGGCTCTCAGCTCCGCCCGAGCTCGCGCAGCCCCGCCTATACTTTACGGCGATGTTCCATGACGGTTAAGCCTTAGCGTCGGAAGCAACATTAGTGCCTCCGTACTGCCCAACTCTTGCCACTCTTCTTAATCTCATGGCTACGTAAATGGCTGCACTGCGGGCAGGAGTTCGCCTCGAACTGAACACGATAAAAGCTAGAGTCGTTAGGACTGTCAGCCCCTCTTCCGTTCTACTCGCGCATGAGCCCACATGCTCTGGCTCTGTCCCAATTCCCATACCCGCGCCGGCACGTGCATGCTCCGGTTTTCTACAACACGACAGGCAGGACCAGAGGCGTGAGAGCAAGGCTCTCACAAGGCTCTCACGGGCTGCAATGCTGTCCACCCCACTTCCCACCGCTGTTTGCGAGCTCCGAACTGCGTGGACAGGGCGTGGTAAATGCTACCAAGGGGGGGGGGGGGGTCCGATAGCGCCGCTGCAACCGGAGCTTGCCAGCAACCCGACCATCAGCTGGTGAGCAGCGCACCGCATCTAGACCTGGGGGCTGTCTGCGCCATGGGGTGGCGCAGGCCGAAAAAGGCGCGACTGATGGCGCGGTCACAGCTGAGATGGCCTGCGGCTATTGGCGTCTTCCCGGGCTGATGGACCTGTCTGGAGCCGTGCCTGCCTCAGCCTGTGCACGTGACATCTGTCTGGGCACTCCAGGCCGCCTTTCTCACCTCGGTGGGTGGGGGCTTGGTCTGATCCGCGTGGGCACTCCGCCGGACCGATTCCCCGTTTTTTTCGGACATGCTCTACATACCTTTACTCCCCGCTCTGGACCCTGTCTGGGGCTGGCCTGGGGCTACCCGTGTGCCCTCCGTCGCTCTGCAGCTGACCTGTTTGGGCGCGGTGGCCTGCAGCCGGTCGGAAGAGTCGGAGCCGGCCGACGAGCTCTCTGACAGGTCCGCCGTGAACTTGCGCCCCACCCGCGGCGACGGCGGCGGACGCCGCGAGCACACCTGGCAGTGGATGTGCTCACAGATGCGCCGAAACCGACGGATGTTGCCTGCGGCGGGCCGTGGCGTCAGACTCGTGGCACTGGATTAGGCCAAGTCAGGTCAGGGCAGGTGAGGTCAGGTTCAGACGGCACTGGAGGTGCGGCTGTGGGCTAAATTTGTTGGTAAATACGTGCAGAAATGGAACGGGTGTGCATCTTACGCTCGCAACGGAAATGCTAGCAACGTCACGCAAACACAAACGGTCACCAAGGGACGGCTTTCATCAGTGGAAGATTTGCAGAAAACTTAGTGTGAAACAGACGTGGAAACAAGTATGTTCCGTCTAATCATATATCAAAAGCTTGGCATTATGAGGCATTGTGCGAGTGCCACCACACCTGCTGTATCTCTTTTCCCGTGCTTGACGACTCGCCCATCTTTACCGACAAGCTGAAACATTCCCTGACACATCCCAGCACAATTCCATCATGGTTTCTCTGAAATCGTTTACCATTCATTTTACGCTTTCACTGAGTGCTGCAAAGGCGTCGAACAACTGTTCTGGCAGCCAGTGAATTTTCCGGGACGGCACGTTAAGATCAAGATTTCTTCATAAATCAGATTTCTCGTTCCCGCGCGCGTCCTAAAAACGTTCCGTGTGGTGTTCATCCGAGGCGTGTGGCAATGCGATGACTGAAACTTTACTCCAAGGCTCTGCAAGGAAGGCATGAAAGGCATAAAACCAGACCTGACTCCGATGGCAGTTCGGCTGGCCACTCAGCAGTTTGCAGAATTTGAGCGTCGTAATTGCCTTCATGTGTGCACGAGAGAAGTTTCTGGCAACCATTCAGCATATGTAAGACTCATAATGCCCCTTGCGGAGCTTGGCATGTACAGCTTGACAGCCCGTTCGTTAGGTATCACTTAGCGTGAAAAGATTATGCAGTACTTCGTGCAGTCCTTAGCAGCAGTAATTTGCTCCCAGGCACATGCACCTGGCGTATATTCAGGAGCCTTGGAGATTCGACTGGCTGGTTATGACGCGCCGATGTGGATTAGAACAGTTTTGAACAGTTGAACTGTTGGACAGAGTTCAGCCCGACACCATCCGGGTGAAAGGTTAGGAGGAGGGGGCTGGTGTTGTTTTATTCTGCACAGAATAATGCGAAAATTGCAATATCAATGCTTTGCGAATATGGGGACCGGTCCAGTGCGCTTCACATCACGTGCGCACGTGCGCTTGCGACTGGCTGTGGTCGACTCCAACATCTGACTTCGGACAGCAGCTTCGTATTAATACAGGCAGTGGGACGCATCCCGCACAAAAACAACAGGAGACATGCCCTTGGCCGAAAAGAGAGCAATAAAGGGCGTCATCGGTGCAGTGGCTGAATGATTCAGTGAGCGAAGCTCAAAACAGACGGGGTATGCGAATCATGCCTACTGAACGTCACACGCTGACGCCCCATCCTCAGAAGTCACGAAGCCATTAACACGCGCCCGGGTGGCCGGCTAGATACCCTTCGCTCGGGTGGGGGGGGGGGGGTCACTTTGACACCCCTTCCCCTGAGATCTCGGGAACTTAGAAAGCTAGAGACACCAAATTTACAGGATGCGTTGACCTGTACGTGAACTCACTTAGGTCAAAGTTTCAGGTTCTTAGATCATGACCTTTTGGTCAAAAAGATCAAACAAGGGCAAGTTCCAGGTTATTCTTCAAAGTGCCCCCAGAACCTAGATAACCGTTTCTAAGCAAAAGGTCACATCCTCATTCGAGGCCATTGACCTTGTTTGACCTTTTGAAGGTTAAGGTGACCAAAATCATACGAGATTGTTCTGAGCTTTGCATTTGACTAAGCGACAAAGATCACACTGGGCAGTATGTTCCCCCCCCCAAAAAAAAACGTTGGCATGGGTTATTTTAGATCAATGGCACATTATGACCTCTAAGAAGTCCATGGAATATGTATAATGCGATTCCTGCTATCAACAAACTCGAAATGAGCACCAGAAGCTATCCCGTACAGCAAGCCCTAGAGTAACAAAACAGGTTGGTTTTGACCTTGGTGTGACCTTCATACCTGACCTTAGGTCAATATAATTTGCTCATTTAAGTGTTGTGTTACCTAAGAAAACATCTCAGAGATGTATGGCTTCGTCTAACACTCCGTTGTTGGATCAGATTGAATGATTCCCTAGAAATGGCCTTCGCTGAAACCATGACCTGACTTTGACCTGCCATGGGTCTAAATGTTGATGCCAAACGATCTGCTATTCAATTGTCTACACCTATGCAAAATCCAGCGCTGCTACGACGCGCCGTTCGGAAACCATTCCGGAAAAACCTTCGGGGGGGAGGGTCAGGTTGACCTCCACCCGAGCGCGTGTTAACGCAGCGACGGCAAACAATTGCTGAGTTCACTTTTATGCATCCTTTTCGGAATGATACTCCTGGAACTCTGAAATTGATTGTTTCGGGTCCTGAGACATCGGAATTGGGATCAACAAAAAATTATTGAGACCATGTATTATGCCTCAATTAAAACACCCAGCGGTGGCGGCGCGCCGTTCCAGAGCGGGTCATAAGCCTCGACAAACACCTGAATAAAATCGCCTTTCCTTAACCAGCCACATATCAGTACTTATGTCAGCTGCTTACTTGCACTTTTGATCGTGACAAAGGTCGAGCTTATCTTGTGTGTTAAAGCCTTCTGCGTAGTCGCCAGGTCTGTGAAACTAGTCAAAACGCCGGTCGATAAATATACTACACTAGGTAGTTGCTAGATTGGTTGCTAGCTAGCTAGCCAAAATAATCCATGCTTGTCAAATACCATGCACAACACTGCATGTATACCAACCGTCAAAATGAATTCGGCTTTTGTTCTAGATCTGGGCTTCTCTGACTTGTGAAGCGTGAAATGAGACAATGAGCAGTGCGGGGCAGGATTGCTCGGCCCATGTTGCGGTGTGATTTACTTGTGTATAACACCCCCCACGCGTACCCCCCCCCCCCCACACGCACTCCCCACGCGCGCGCACACACCCACCCACACCCACACCCACCCACACCCACACACACCCACACCCACACCCACACCCACACCCACACCCACCCACCCACCCACCCACCCACACACCCACACCCACACCCACACCCACACCCACACCCACACCCACACCCACACCCACACCCACACCCACACCCACACCCACACCCACACCCACACACACCGCAAAGCCGCAAGCCGCAAAGCTCAAGCTGAAAGCCACTTTGATCTGATTGAAGCCGTAGCGACCGTTAATATTGTTCATTGCACCCGCCGGCTCGTTTCAAGTAGGAGCTCTGGTGCGGTGGAGTACAGTGAAGCCGAGGTGCCAGACAGAAATCCATTTAGAAAGTTGGCAATGTTTAAATTTACCATATGATCAGTGTTATCTTGGGATCCTTTGCCCTCCCCCCCCCCCCCCTAATAACCGCCCCTCCTGCCAGTCCCTAGAGCAAGTATCGGCCTGATTATCATAATGCATATAACACATTCTTACGTGTGCTATTCGCATAACATTTGTCTTTGATTCATGCCAGTTCGGATGATTCGGAACCAGAACCTGACCATTACTGCTTACATCCTACAGCACTCATCGAGGGAGAACGTGAGGTAAGTGGCGTATGCGCACTAGCGTCACACCGCTTGATGTGACGTCATACCGACACTCACCCAGTATCGTTGTAACACTAATGACGCACAGACCCCACCGCTCGCTCGCCAACACTCGCCCCACGCCAGAGTGAGGCTGTTCGCTCGCCGGCACTCACCGGACACCAGCGTGAAGTTGATGGCGTACAGGCACTCGTCGTCGCCCTGCGAGACGGGCGTGATGTCCACCTGGAAGCGCACCTGGCGCTGGAACACGGCCGGCCCGGCCGCACCGCGCCGGTACTCAACACGGAACGACATCGGCGATGTGACGCTGTGGCTGAGGTCAGCGATCTGACAACAGACGGGGTCAAGATCAGCTGACGCTGTGGCTGAGGTCAGCGATCTGACGACAGACGGGGTCAAGGTCAGCTTACTGTGATTGAGGTCAGCGATCTGACGACAGACGGGGTCAAGGTCAGCTGACGCTGTGACTGAGGTCAGCGATCTGACGACAGACTGGGTCAAGGTCAGCTGACGCTGTGATTGAGGTCAGCGATCCGACGACAGACGGGGTCAAGGTCAGCTGACGCTGTGGTTGAGGTCAGCGATCTGACGACAGACGGGGTCGAGGTCAGCTGACGCTGTGGCTCAGACGGAAACACATGAGTCGAAAGCAGTTTCTGACATCGACAAACCAGGGTCACTGTACGGGACCAGCACCGTTTAACGGAGGAGAGAACGGTCAGTCATACTGGCAGACGTGTGGGTCTATTTGTACAACCGGTTGCGCACACTCGGGCACGAATAATTAATTCGCCGTATACATTTCTGAGGCGTATTTTGTAGGGTTGATATGGTGTTTTGGCAATCACAGAAGATGAAGACATGGAAGCAACTGCATACGTTATGCAAATATGGCTTCTAGCGTAAAACAGTAAGCGGACTGAGCAATCGAACATTGTATGTACGCCTGTAACAGACCAGGAAACGACCAATGCCACCTTCTTCAGGACGGGTCCCGAAAACACAAGCTGTGTTCAAATCCAAGACATGTCGAGCCATGAAAGCTACAAAATCGTGCAACCTATTCACCGTGACCAACTTGCGATAGATTATACAAGTTCCCATAAAATGTTGTGCAAGAACTCAGAACACACACATCAGCCCACATTAAAATATTTATACCGATTAAAATGGATCGGCCCTGGCCGGCTCGGCCATGCAGCATTCAAACATCTCCTGTAAATTGGTGGCGTACGGTGTATGTCGTTGGAGCTCTGCCTGCGAAATCACGAAAGAGGAGTATTCCAACAGGATAAGTTTGACGATCAGAGGATCGTCAAACTTGTGGCGAGGTCGCTGTGATCAGATATCAGAACAAAACAAGATTAAATCATCGCGATTGTTACGGTGAGGCTCATGCGGGGTAAGAGTTATGTCTCAAGTTGTTCGCCTCCACATACCTTATGCATACGCTGTTGGGTTTCCCTACCGCTTGTCTTTTCATGTATGGGACACATCAGAGTATGAATCGCAAAGTTCAGAGGTTTTATTCAACCGTTTTGAACATTTTTGCAAGCTGACATCAGTCTAGGGTTTCACCACTGGTATGTCACCGGCTCCAGCACTTCTACGAATTCCGCTGGAGATTAGACATCGGCTCAGGAGCAGTCACCTTTAGAGAGCATCAGATCGGATCTAACGACGGAAACAATTTGCGGCGGACAACTTCCAACAAAGTGAATCGGGTAGCTTCATCCAAAGGCAGCGCCCGTGCAGAAATCCGATCTCTGAACTTTACCCACGCATCTCCCACAGCTGAGGACGGCCTTTGGGCCATCAAAGGCAACTAGACGGGGCCAGCGCGCCTCGTTCCGCCCACGCCCGACCAGTTCTGCGACAGTCGCCTCCCGTTGGACGCGCCGGGCGCAGCGACCGATCCAGCGCCAGCGCCAGCGCGCCTCGTTCCGCCCACGCCCGGCCAGTTCTGCGACAGTCGCCTCCCGCTGGACGCGCCGGGCGCAGCGACCGATCCAGCGCCAGCGCCAGCGCGCCCCGTTCCGCCCACGCCCGGCCAATTCTGCGACAGTCGCCTCCCGCTGGACGCGCAGGGCGCAGCGACCGATCTCAGCCCCCTCCCCCCCCCCCCTCTCCAGGCCCGGTCTCAGCTCTCTCTGGCGGATGTTGCAACGGAGCTCCGCGCCAGCAACCCGGAACCGAGCGGGGACCGGCGCCGGGCCGGCCGCTAACGGGGCGCTGAGTCGGCGCCCCCTGACAGGCCGCTAATTGTTCTCCCCCGGACGAGGGTCGAGGCGGCGGAGCTAGCGTCACCGCTGACAGGGTCGCATCGGGACACTCCATCAAGACAGCCTTGAATGGGGAAAAGAAATGCAGTGTAATAGCACATATCTGGTTGGCTAATCGACTTGTCGATTGTCGATAAATTATAAATAATTGATCGTCGATAAAAATGTTCCGCCCACACGCACGGTACGCGACGACGGCAGTGCAGTTCCCGCACCTGTTCTCCATCCGGGCAGGAATATCCGGCTTCAGGTGGCCTTCAGGGATGTATGACTGCGATCTAAGCCGGAGCTTAGATCCGGATAGATCCGGCTCCAGGTGGTCTTCAGGGATGTCTGACTGCGATCTAAGCCGGAGCTGTATGTCCGGAGACGAAAAATACTGAGATGTGTTTGGCGACGTCGGTATCGTCGGGTTACACCAGCACCGCGTTGGTTACGCCAGCACCTCGTTGGTTACGCCAGCACTGCGTTGGTTACGCCAGCACCTCGTTGGTTACGCCAGCACCTCGTCCTCGCAATCATCACTTCGGTGACCGGAGTCGGGCTCCTTCACAAACTTCCTCCGGCTTCTCTAAGAACGGGAAGTTGGCGCCCTAGTTTGGCAATTTGACGGAGAGCAGCGATCTAAAATGGCGTGATGAGACAAGAGGCGCGCAGAACGATTCTGATTAAAAAGCGTGTGAGTTCTTCAGTCGGCTCAGGCCTGAACGCACGACCATACCGACCCCGACACTGCAGCAGGACGTGGGTTTGGCTGCCTTGAATGGGTCGAACACCTATGGGCGCGCGTTTACCAATCGCTCACGCTTGTTCTCTAGGTTGAAATGGGATGAAGCAAGTGATTTTTATCACTACCAAACTGTCTTTTATAGGTGACGGACTGTACGGACAGGTGAATGCGGACGCATGTACATATTGTTAATTGAGCTGATATACATCGATGATTACTCGACGATGCCTCTTAACCATTACCTCCTGGTAGATTTAAGGTCAGTTATTTTCAGCATAAGAATTCGATAACATAGTTTGGGCTATTGAGAGCCTTCAATAATGACATGTATGCAGGAAACACATAACATACTCACATGATTTTCCGGTGCCTCATTTTTGTTTTGCTTACTACACCGTTCGTACACGTAGCCAGAAGATTTGCCCGCCCCTCCCCCTCAACTGAGGGGGAGACCAATGCTAGATTTTCTCTGGACTCCTGTAAATTTGAACCGAATACCTTCGTAATCCCCCAGTATCTAGTGTGACCCTCTTACCACAGAGGAGGGGCGACATGACCCCGTGCCTTGGCCACGTCCCTGACACTGGCACACAGAAATGTTGACGGCAGGCCCTGAGTGATAATCGAACCGGCCCACGATTAATATCAATATCATATATACCGATCTGGCATTCTTGCACCCGTCCATCGCGAGAGTAACTGAGAAGTGTCTTTGTTGTATTTTTCTATGGATACAAACAAGAACGTCACCTGTTGTAGCCTTATGAACATTACAAAATAAGCCGCAAAAATTCGACATTTTATCGTATTTTAGAGCACACTGAAATTTACAACTGCCGTTTCAAAACTGTCCGTTTATAAATAAAAACATAGCTCCTGAGTGCAGGTTGTGTCTTGAGCCACCCCCTTACCACACAGTTGAGTAGTTAAAAAAACATCAACCATATCAAACTACGTCATCTCTGCCAAGTATGTGAAAAGAATCTTCATGCCGCAGCATTCAATAAGAGCCCTAAAAATGGCGTCAGCCCAGTGGATTTCGGGATGTCAGGCGTGACATTCCAAACTACTAGAACTCGAGTGAAAATTACCACATGAAAAGAGGGCTTAACGATGAGACTTAGTCGGTTGCAACATTTCATCTTCTCTTCTCTGTTGTTTGGGGTTCCATTATAAAACCTTTGTAATGCAATAGGACAGATAAAAAAGAAATCGCGCGTGACTAGTTTGACATGTTTGTAACACATTTCTGTTGACGATACGTCACAGCAATAGCCGTTAGCCGTTTGTCAGCGATGTGGATATTTGGCAGTTCTATCACAGGCGGTGAACATTGTCTGACGAACTTCGGAGACACCATTATGTTTGACAGCATTATGAACGAGCGCCAGAGTTTTTGATCGTTTGTCTTGTAGACATGAAACCAAGGATTGAATGCTTACAGCTGTCATGGACTATATATATATCCTGCAAAAACAGCTTCACGCCCGCACCAACATATGATTAGTCAAGCATGAACCAATTAATTCACATCTTCTTAGGCATTGAATCACCGGGAATCATGTAGTACGTGTCACTACCTGCGGTTTCGTCTAACACCATTGCCCGTGGCACCTCACACTTACAGGACAGTCATACACACTGAATAGCCCAGACGCAAATCGGGGTGAAGATCGGCGTCTGCCCACGATGACTTCTCAAGGCCACTTGGGCGACCACGTGACACTGGCGCCGTTACCAGGCCGGCGGTGAGCTCGGGGGGTCAGCACAGGGCTATTTTATCGCAAGAAGTATTGTTTGAACAAATCGTCGTGTACGAGAATAGCTGGAGCTGGCTTGACCCTTTTTACCGTGTGTTCTGTAACTTGGCATGCGTGCCCACCGTCTGAAGCACAAACAATCCGCTCGAAATGAAAAAAGTTTTAAGCATGAGGAACTGTTGTTATATTCCGCACTAGCTGTATTCACAATCTCCAGTGCCTTGCAGTCAACATAAGTAACGCAAGCTTGCAGCAGCCGTCAGTGTCTCAGCAGACATCAGCGGTGGCCCCTGGAAGTGCGCCGTCCTCCCTCGCGCCTCCCGCCCTCGTCTCGCTCTCTTCCCCCTCATTAAGCCCGCCGAGCACGCCTCGGCCCGTCCCCGCGCCCCGGGCGGACAGGCGCCCGGCCAAGGTCAGCCCGTCCGGCGGCGGCGGAGGCGGCCCCGTCCAGAGCTGGCCCGGCTCCAGCGGCGGGCCCGGACGCCACGTCCGGACGTGGCGGCGGACGTGACATCGGAAGCGGGGGTAGCGAGCTGACCATCGATCCCGGCTGGGGCCACTACGACGTCCGGGCCGGCCGCCCGGGAGGCGGGGGAGCGCGTCGGACTGCGGAGGGACCGGCGGAGAAGGCGGTGGAGGGAGCCGGAGCGACGGCGGCGGAAGGACCGGCGGAGAAGGCGGTGGAGAGACCGGCGGAGAAGGCGGTGGAGGGAGCGGGAGCGACGGCGGCGGAAGGACCGGCGGAGAAGGCGGTGGAGGGACCGGTGGAGAAGGCGGCGGAGGGAGCCGGAGGACCACGACAGTGGCTGGGGCACCAGGGACGCCAGTCGGGATATGGTGCTAGAAAGGCCGATATTCGACGAATCAGGTATCAAAGCGACCGCCGACTAAGCAAGTGGGCGCGGCGGCCCAGAGGCGACTCCCCAAGGTCGCAGCATCCGGGAGATCAACGGGATGAGAGACAACGTCGCCGGACTATCGACCGACCGCCGACCCCGAGTCCGGCCGCTGACACAGCGAGCCAGCGACGGAGATATGTTTACACGGCCAGACGTTGGCGCGGACACTAAACAGCGGTATGAGCGCGAAAGGCGACCGACGCCAGCCGGGGCGACAGGCGGCGACGGGGCCGCCAGACTGCGGCCGCGGCGCCGGATCAGGTCCCCGCCGGCCGCCGCTGACCTCGGCTTCATGGCTCGTGCTCGCTAACCGTGGCCACACGCATGGCTAGTCGACCACGTCTGGTGTCCGTCTCTGTCTCCAGCATCAAACGGTTGGCCTGGTGTTGACAACGCGCAGCAGAATCTGACATTACCGAACGGCTGGTGTTGACAGCCTTTCTGGCTTCATATCAGTCGTATGAATCACACACCAAGAGCACCTGCTCAAGATTTGTGTGAAGAAGCCGATGTGGCAAAGGACACTTCTGAGTCGATGGAGTTATCGCGCAATTCAAAACTGAGCACATCTTGCTTGCTCCTCCCCGGCAAAACTTAATTAGCAAGGCGCAGGGCCCGTAACACCGTTCATGCAGCGTGCCTACGGAACACCAATACAAATGAGATAGCGGCGATTCCAGCGCACACCAGCGCGATTGTAAATCCCTCAGGAGCACTGCCGCTGATACGGGCAGCAGGGCGTTTCCAATGAGCGTAATGGCCAGAGCGCGCGTGGTCACGGTCCAATTGGACTGATCGTGGTCACGGTCCAATTGGACTGATACGAACCAACCGGCCAAGTGCCCTTCAGCTCCGAGCACTAGAGCACTCGAGGTCAGCTATACAGAGCGATTGGACCGTCGCTCGTGAAAATCTGTTGTACATGGAATGAAAGCTCTTTATCGGTACTTCGCGCCTCGCTGAGAAGTATGTGGCGTTGGCGAAAAGTAGATGATGGAGTTAACGGAAATGCAACCTTTCTTGCACATGCATGCGAATGAACCTCCTGTACCTTACGCTGGCTTACAGCTGGATAGGCCTCAATTACTGAGCGAGTTCGGTACCCAGCTTTACTGCTTTGCTATTCATGCAGAGTTTATCTTCACTCCGTACAGCCCATTCACTCAGAAAGCTTTCCTCCAGGCAGTCGGGCCAGCTCACCGGGCGAGCTTACTTCATGCAATGGGGCCGCTCACCGAGCGAACTTACCCCACGCGATTGGCCCTCTCACCGAGCAAACTTACCCCACACGATTGGGCCGCTCACCGAGCGAGCTTACCCCACGCGATTCGGCCGCTCATCGAGCGAGCTTACCCCACGCGATTCGGCCGCTCACCGAAAGGAACGAGTGGATGAGGTCGGCCTTGACGATGGCGAGCGGCTTGCTGCGCACGATGACGGTGTAGCTCTCGTCGCGCTCCGAGCCCATAAGCGTGCCGAACCAGGAGCGCTTGGTCAGCTCGGGCGACGACTCGGGCGTCAGGCGCGTCTCGTCAGACGGCACTGCAACACGGCACGGTGTAAGACGGGGCTGAGACTCGGCGCGGGGTGAGGAAGGGCTGAGGCTCGGCAAGCAGTGAGGCGGGGCTGAGACTCAGTGCGGTGTGAGGAGGAGCTGAGACTAAGTGCGGTGTGAGGAGGAGCTGATACTCGGCACGGTGTGAGGAGGAGCTGAGACTCGCAAATTGCGTGTTACCCACATAAATGGCAGACAAAAGGTGACAGGTGTCCACGGGAAGTCTAGCAATGAAAAAATCGCGATTTCAAGATCGGCGTAACTGAAACTAACCATACAATACGTTTTTTTTCCTTTTAGTTTACCTTCTGGTAGCAATAATGATAATTCATTATTACCAAATACTTCACTGAGCAGGACGTTTTGTGTATACAATAATTTCGAAGCAGCCAAAAGGCGAGAAATATGATAGCTGTGCAGCATCAATGCAGATAATCATCGATAGGAAAAACAAGTTTAGCCTACAAACCCAAATTTTCAGATGTGAGTGCCGCACCCACGGACGGCAAAACTAACCCCTCTATGGCGACGCCCTTTCTAGCACGTGATAACTTCTGCGACCAGCTTCGCCCAATCCATAAAGAACTTCTGGGACAAGTTATCCATCATGCAACGCAGCACCAACGCAGCACCAACCGCACCACCGCCAAGCACGATGAGACAATCACAAATGTGTCTTCATCAGTAAGTGATGCATGTCAGCTCCACATCACACTTCATAAATACAGAAGAAAATGCTGCAAAGTCCGTGGCCGCCCGTCTATTCCAGGGCGCACGCCGGATACACAGATCTGAAAATATGACTCATATCGCGGCTGGACATCTGTCTGATTACTTCTGACGCATTCGCTCACCGTGCTGCAAGTCCGGGTCAGTCAGCGGATGTGGAAGATACTGTCTGTCAGTGTGTGTGTGGGGGGGGGGGAGGGGGCAGGGACAGGAGAGCGCTCTCGGCAGGCGTGTCAGCACGGTTAAACACCTGATTATTTGTGGGCGGAGCAGTTAAAGCAACACAGGTGTCACGTGCCGCCTGCGAGTGACGGGCGGGGGCAGGGCACGAGAGCTCGAGCCTCCGTCTACGACGTCAGCGCCGCCGGCGGGCGGCGACCATCATCATTGGGAGGACGATTCCGCCGGCTTGGGCCGAGGCCAGCCGAGTCGGCCATAACTGATGGAGGTCAGGGGAAACATGGTGCCATCGACCGCGTCAGAGCAGCCCAGAAACGACTGCAAGGGCACGGGGTCGCTCATTTCGCTCGCTATCTCCTGCTACTTTCGCTCGCCCAGATGGGATGCGCGGACTTACCGGCACCGGTGTAGAGAGCGACAACTTAGCGACGGTGACGGATATATTAGCGTACTGTCAGCTCATTCTCAATCCCTCTTCACCGTTTATGGACACTATGTCTGCCGGCATCAAGGGTCCAGCTCGTCCTCGCACCTATACGATATATATATATATATATATATATATATATATATATATATATATATATATATATATCGCTCTCTCTCTCTCTCAAGCCGCCACCAGACCGTTCCTGATCGGCTACAGACCGCTAAGAGCAGACCGCTGCCCCCTGACGGGCGCCCGTCGGCCGCGGCTACAGACCGCTAAGAGCAGGCGGCTGCCCCTGACGGGCGCCCGTCGGCCGCGGCTACAGACCGCTGAGAGCAGACCGCTGCTCCCTGACGGGCGCTGGTTGCGCGCGGTCCGGCGTTGACACCTGATCCGATTAGTTGGAGCCGGGTCGGCCGTCGCCGGCCGGAAGCACTACAGCGAACGGCCAACCGACCGGCCGCCGCCGTCATCCATCGCTGTCAAACGGATGCAGTGTCGCGGCCAGCCCTCGCCGTCGCTCCCCTCCCCTCTCCTCCCGCTGAGACGGCTGTTCGGTCGGCGCTCGATCGCCAGCGGCCTGTTCGGCTCGGGAGAGGGATGGGTTGGGGGGGGGGGGGGGCGGGACGGTTCTGACACGCTGGCCGAACAGCATGTCAGCTCCCGCGAGAGGCGCAAGAATAACATCGCCCCGCAAGAGGCCTCGGGGGGGTGGGGCTGTCGAAGGAGAACTGCTTTCCCAACGGGTTGCATGCGTGAATAAAACATACGCAACTGCCATTAGGGGACAACTGACGGAGAGGAGATGGGTTACACAATGCCTGACTTGACCTGACGGTCGACTGCTCGCTGGTGTGTTCTTGGTGACTTCGCTGCAAATTTGCGAAGCCGCCCGCTTTGCGATCCCCACCACTTGATTGCGTCCGACATCCGCCATGGACGCACATGTTCCCATGTCCGACATGCTTTTGTTTTATGCGATCGAGTCAAATCATGACTCAGTGGGTCGGTGATTTGTATTAAATCTGTCACGTCCATCGGCTTAACCGTCAGGTTTTTATGTTCCTAATTTAAGGCAGGAATGGTAGCGAATGGCTCTGGCCATTCAGCAGAACTTTGCATATTCAATAGCGCGAGACGCCGACCAGAAGACCATACTTGACCCCAATAGTTTCACCGACGCGACCGATGAAAGGATTGTGGCACGAGGCCCTGTCAGGCGCTTTAATTATGACGCAGTCTCAACAAAACGTGTCAGCCATACCAGTGAGCGGCGGATTGGCACTGATGAGGCTCGAACAGGACCCCAGAATTTCAAGATCATGCACTTAAAACAGTATGGCATCATTGGTCTCATTCTTACCTCAAATGCGTCGTATCTGTGTCGAATTTTACACTTATCCGGTCGTACGAGCCTGAGTGCAGTGCAGGATTTCAAATTATTACATTTAGTGGAGCGACGGGTAAGTATGTTGTCTATACTATATGCGACCAGATTCTAAGTTCCGGACCTCATACTCCGGTCAAAACAACTGTTGTACAACACGCTGACAACACAGGAGCACATGACACAAAAAGGCGCAAACTGACGTCAAGCGTCCGCCGATGAGCGTCCTCCAGAACCAAGCAGCGATGACCCTATTTCGAAGGCTTTTCGGCTGATTTTCTGAGGGGCATATGCAGTACATGACCTGCATGGCACAGCCCAGATGAACACCTCCATTAGAGCCCGGGCTGGCATTTCAACTCTGAAACGACGTGACATCAGTGTGGACATGGCCAATGGGCTTGCGTTCTCGAATTGCCGTCAGTATTCATTCCATGATCGCACCACATGCGATTCTGTTGTAAGGTCCTTGGCGCTGGCTCGGTTTCAAACATTAATCAGTGTACATATACGTAATCAAGGGCTAGATCTTATAATTTAGATGCCGTTGGAAATCTAAGTTTTCTTTCTGAGAGGTGCGATCCGTAGGTGAAATCAACTCCAAACAAAAAGAATGAAAAGAGCGCAAAGTTTTACGTGGATGCGAGAAAAAGAGCATGAGATACGAGATGGCAGCATACGATGGTTAGCGATTCTGTCCACGGAGCGTTGCTAGCTCAAAACCATTGATTAACCCTGAAAATCAACCTATACGATTAAGCACTTTAATTCGGCTCATATCGATCTGCACTGCAGTGCGATTGTATATGGTTTTGGACTGGATGCCCCAAGAAGCAACACAGGAACGTTGACAAGCATCGTATCGGAATTCTCCTGCATAACGTCAAGCGCAAGAAAACTGAAAATATAAAATCAGTTCTTTTTGCTCAACATGGCAAAATAGCGTTACCCGAATCCGCGTTGGAATCAGCATTTGGCAGTACTTTAAGTCGACCGACCCTGAATTACCCCCCCCCCCCCCCCAACTGATTTTGCGAGTCTATACCCTGCCGCTGGCGACTGCTTCTCGCCCACCAATCTGCACCTGCTCAACACACTTGTCTGGCAAATATTGTCAAACACTTTTAGCACGTTGGTACACTGATTCTACCATTTTGTTCGATGAACCAGGGAACTAGCTAGATAGTTACTGAAACTACGACAATGTAATATGGTAGAATAAGTATACACATGCTCCATCCTATCTTTCGAACAGGATCCGGCATCCCTTCATGTCTCGCCAAGCTAGGACTTCACAGCACCCAGCCACTGAGCAGAGAATGGCCTCCAGCTATGGCCACCGGTAACGTCCAAACGCTAGCGTGGTCTCACCTAATTGTAACACCAACACATCACATCGCCTCCATCGGCGTAAGGTCTAGGGTCTGTGATTTCAAAGCGCGGCTGGCAGTGTCATCATCTCACCTCTTACGTACGCCGCTGGTCACATAGCTCCGCAATAAACTATGCAGGCCAGAGGAGCACCTTACGCCCATAATGAATGTAGTATACACCACCTTCGTATACGCATCCCACCACGCGAGATGTTGAACTATTCGTCGCAGCCACAGCCGCCCTTTCAGCAGCCACCCTTGTCCGCAGCCACCATTTCCAGCAAATACGGCTTCTCATGCAGCGTAGTCTGGTGCACCAAGTCTAACCAGGGAGTGTCCCTTTGGCGTCAGGGCGGCCGCAGACACCGAACTCAAAGCAACCGCATCTGCTCGGACCGTGGTAGGCGCCGCCGCTGGTGCGGCCGGCCGGCGGCGGCACGCTAAAATCAATGAATGGCTTCACCGGAAGACGGGAGACGTGCCGCCGGGCCTGGCTGTCAAACCCATCAGACTTCAGACCGACGGAGCCTTTCCTGTGAACTCAGATGCAGATCGAACGATCTCATATTGAGCAACTATTACCATACCGTCAGGCACCAGCATACTGAAACCCCAACTGACCTACCTGCTACTTTACGTCACACCGCATCTAGGAATTTTAGATGCAGAGAGCTGAGGTAATTTTGTGTGAACCATTCATGACGATATGGCATTAACTAAATGGAAACGAAGTTAACAATTATCTTGTGGAGGATTAAACCGCTCTTCAGCGACTAACGAATAAAGTAACTGTTCGCTGCGAAGACGAGGGTCAAAATATTTTGTGGCCAATTTTATACGGAGAAAGTGCAGCAACAGCTTCTTATTTCCCACGACAGAAATGAAGCGACAGATGAGACGAAGATGACATACTTAATGAGATGAACGTAAACGGACGCAGCACAAAGCATTGCTGTGAGTTACGTCGCGAGCACGACTTGTGCTCATATCACGTCACAGAATACCCGCTTTAAACGGGCAATTTCATGCCGGCCGCTGGCAATAGATCAACACGAGGCATTTATCTTACTTTCACCCGTTCCGCTGTGATGGGTTAGCCAGGTTACGTTACATTTACGAATTTTATAAGTTCGAAATGTACCACAAAAGTCAGTTTCTGTTCGTATCATGAAATATTTGGTTCTCCTTATGTATTGTAGTACTATGGAAAACGCTACACTGCCGGATATTGTACCCGTTCGGCCATACGAAAATGCACGTTTAAACACGTTGGAGATAAGTATGCCGTTTAGTTTCGGTAGCGGAGCACTTGGTTGGGTGTGTCCTAAGATATATATGTACGTATATATATATATATATATATATATATATATATATATATATATATATATCACAAGTTTCCATCCACAATGCGATATTTCGTGAACCTCGACGTGTCACAACACGAACCGCTGCTCCCTGCCCGACTGCTGTGGATGCCGCACAAATGCAGCAGTGCAAGGCATGAGATGAGCAAAAAACATCTGGGCAAAACGGCAACGTCCATTGCGAATGGGCCAGGTTATGGTTCAAACAGCTACCTACTGACAAAGGCCCTTTTTAACCTTCTCTGCCAAGTCCCCGCCAAAGCCGACCCCGCACCCCCATTCCCCGCACCCGCCCTTGACCCCACACGCGCCCAGTCCCGACACCCGCTGGCGCGACCTCGCCTGACCCCACCCTGCAGTTTGCGCCGGTGGAAGCGGGGCGAGCCCATCAGCGAGTTCTTGATGGTGTTGAGCCGCGAGCGCCAGTAGGCGGGCGCTCCGTACGGCGAGGCCGGCGGCGTGGCCAGCTCGTCCGAGGCCGGCAGCGGCGACGGCCGCACCAGCAGCTTGGGCGACGGCAGCGGCGAGGCCGTCGGCGTCACCGTCGACGACGAGAGCGGGCTCAGTCCGGAGGAGCTGCTCGGTCTTCGCCGGCTGCCGGGCGGGGGCGGCGGTCAGGGAGCGCGTCACGTCCGGCCTGAGGGGATGGTCTGCTAGAGGCTGCGGGCCGCGCAAGATGATCTGGGTCCTGAAGGATGTTTTCAGTTCCAGTAGAGCTTGTGTGGTTGGGGTATTGAGCTCGCGTTGCAAAACGAGGGACAAAGCAGGATGGTGGCTTGGCAATCATAGGTGATGGCGCACAGTCCACCCACACTGCTCTAAGTCCCATGAGTTGGCGGGGACGTCATTGAGTGGCTGATGGGGGCATTGGGGCGGTTACACTGGAGAAAATGAAATAAAGATACGGCATGATCGCACAACGACCATGTTTCAGGTTACGATAAAGAGCGATCCTGCACAAAGGCTACATGGCAGTGATTAGCGACAATGGAGGATGGTGGGCGACGGCTCAACATTGACAACCGGTGGCGTGAATTAGCAGTTTGGCATCAAGCTAGCTCTGCCATAATTAGCATATAATTCCAGCATCACGACAAATTTAGGGCCGCCTCCACGGAGGCTGCTAGCACCTGGAGCGATGCAAGGCCAAGGTGAGGCCAGAGAAGGTCAGTCCCAGACAGACGCAGAGCAGGACTCGTCCCGGGTCAAATCCGACACGGTACTGGAGCACCCTTCCGGAGCGATGCGAGGCCAAGGTGAGGCCAGAGAAGGTCAGTCCCAGACAGACGCAGAGCAGGACTCGTCCCGGGTCAAATCCGACACGGTACTGGAGCACCCTTCCGGAGCGATGCGAGGCCAAGGTGAGGCCAGAGAAGGTCAGTCCCAGGCAGACGCAGAGCAGGACTCGTCCCGGATCAAATCCGACAGGGTACCGGAGCACCCTTCCGGATACCCTACTGGGTGCGGCCTGACAGGCCCCACCGACGCGGCGAGCTGGTGGGCAGTGACCTCACTACTCGAGCATCCCTGTCAGCTATGGCGAGAGACCCCCGCTGAAGGCTGCAGAGCTCGCCCCCCCCCCCCTTCCCTCCGTTTCGAGTTTCGAGTCGCCGTGGCGCCTTCCTCGCGGCTTACTGGTGGAAGTGGCGCCGCGGAATGATGGGCGAGCCTTCGCTCAGCTGCTCGTAGTGGTGCGTGGAGCCGTTCAACTTGTACGAGTCGACACGCTTCCGCGGCGGGTCGGCCGAGTCCGACCTGGGGGCGGAACGCAGAGTGGCTGCCTGCTGAACGCTCGCGAATAGTGAGCACATTATCCCCGGCACACGATGTGGACGGTATTTGGGATATGAACTCAGAACTATCGGACATTGTTGAACCTGCACTCCGAGCTATTTCCGAAGTTACGCTGTCGCAACCATTGAGCCATGCGCGGCTAGTGAACCTCAGTCTTCAAAACACCTGAAAGCCGCAATAAATTGTTAAGGCATAACATCTTTATCTGTCCATCTTCATCAGCGTACCTTAAGATGTTACATATTTCAATAGATGATAGAATGTACCAATGTCGCATGCCTTTGTCCAACTCAAAGCATATTTTTCACGCGCCTTGTGAAAAATAGCAGCTGCATCAAAAGAGCCCTGCAGTCTTGAAGATGAGAAGCTCCCAAGCACAAACAAAACTTTCTTTCGTGATAAGACCCTGCTCGTGCTTTGAAGCATCTGGAAACATTTCAGGCCTTTCAGGCGGCCATTATTCGAGAGCCGGTGGCGAGGTGTTTGATGCGATCCGGCTGGGAGTCCGGTCTTTCCACCCACCTGGCCCTCATCAGCGCCTCGGCGTCGTCCTCGTAGGCCGGCTTGCGTCTCTTCCGCTCCAGAAGCAGGAAGTAGATGACCTTCTCCGTGTTGTGACTGCGGACGGCGTCAAGACGTGAGGCTGGCTGGGCGCATCGGAACAGTGCTGGAGATTGATGATGATACTGCGCCATTTCTACGCAAATTTATATCTTTCTCTAGCTGGCGGAGGGCGCATGTAAATGTTTATGAGGCATGTTGCCACCGGGGCAACGGTCACCGGAGTTATACAAGCGGGTTTACCTTGATCTTGGTGTTTGGAACGAATTGGTATTTCAACGTTGCGCCCTCTGCAAAAGGCGATATGGAGGTTTACGACGGCAAAGACTTCCCAATTCTTTCAGCGATGAAAGGTGGTTTTAACCCTATTTTAATTCGGTGCACATTGCTTGCACTGCACGCGGGGAGGAGGAGGAATTTGTTCTCCCAAAATGTCGGAAATTATTGGACTAATGATTTTCCAAGGGCGCCAAACGGCCCTACATCCAGATCTCGCAAAAAAAACAGCCGCGGTTAAGCAAACTAAATCAATTATGTCAATGATATATTCAAGCAATTCCCCTTTGCTTTTTTCATGGTACATGGGGAAAACGGTTTTAGTGTACCAAAAGCGTTCATTGACATACCGATGTCCAAAACCAGGCAGAAAAAACTGGGCCAAGTAGCGTATTTCTTAACGTATTCTCTCTTGCAGCATTGGTTCTGTCTCTTTACATTAATTGGAGCTCCGCATATGTTGTGCAGAACCCTATAGAGAACTCAGAGAGGACAGCACCTAATAAGAGTTCAAGAGTGTTTGTGCAAGATACACCCCTTCCTCATCGCGAGCCGACATCCTGTTATGATAAGCCACCTCTACGTAACACGCCCTAAAATTACAACGCAGAGACATCACAATTTCCAGATGTTTTTTTCACGTGTCTGCACACACTTCAGGAACAGCAAACCGCCGGCCGATGACTGCAATCTCCTCGCAGCACAGCCAAGGGCTCGCATCAAAGGCTCACATCATGAATATATCATGCTCTGTAAAGTGCGACCATTCGGTCTCCAGCAATCACTGCGGCAGTATACGACCAGCAGGAAACCAAACCCTTGCATGCCCTGCAGGCATCACTGTATGCGGCGAGGTTAGCAGTAAACTGTTGTTTCCATTTCCGGTAACCATATCGTTCCACGATACCGACTGCCTCGTTCACAGTGTGACGTTACGTTGCAAGCGATACAAATAATGTAAACAAAACATTATATATACCTACATGCATACACTCACGCATATATATATATATATATATATATATATATATATATATATATATATATATATATATATATGCTCAAAAATGTGCAAAATGTGCTCAAAGATATCATTTTTAGCGGAGCGCGGTCTCATACCTGCTCGCAAAACGTATCATCCTATATCATCTATTAAACCCAGCCAGCGCTCATTTTAACCACATTATTGGATTACCAGGTCAGCGCGTGCCAATTCCATGGTATACAACCTGGTAAATGTTTTGCGTTCGAGCGCGCTCTGTTGGCGAACAAACGGCACGTGGTCCAACGATCCAGCTCGACCCTACCCGGAGATGAGCGCACGAACACCTGATGACCAACGTGGCACACACGTTCTGACGCGTGCCGGTCACTGGTCCAGTCCAGACCGACCCTGAGTGGCGAGACGTAGGTCAATGATCCAGTCCGAGAACCACCCCTCCCGAAGGGGTCCAGCGCAACACGCTCCCGGGACGGGCACCGGAGGAGATGACCCCATCCGCCGACCCCGCCCCTCGCTCCCCCAGAAATCGAGGGACCGATTCGTCACCAGCTAATTGTCCCGCGCGCAGTCTGCCACCCTTCCCCTGCACCCGTCGGCCTTCCTCCTTTAGACGCAGCACATAGCACGGGTAATTGACAGCACAGCCACGCTGAACGAGGGCGCCGGGCGCTGTGGTGGCGCAGTATACCACCCGATGGCCCGGTACAGGGAAAGTGCCTATTGCAGATCCGCTGATGGTAGAGGCCTGCCAAACAGCAATGTTTTGCTGTTAGACTTTTACATCGGTGGGTGAAGTCGAGTGTTTTCTGACACTTTGTTTCTGGAACGGGCAAGTGCAAAATTCTAATCACGGAAAAGTTTTCTCCACAAGCGTTGAGGCAGAACAAGTGCAAAAATTACTACGCTTGTCATTTGGTGCACGCTACATTTGAAGCTTTAATTCACTGTGCCGTGATTTAATTCACTGTGCTTTGGCACCACTGCCCAGCTGGGACATCGCCCGGCACCGGTGAGGCGCATTTCATGCCGCACGTGCTTACGTAAGACACTTAATGGACATAAGACTCGCAAGGAAAGAATGGATGACCATATTTTAGAATATTGTCATGACTGCATCATAGTTATATATTTTAGAATATCGTGCAATGGATCATGGCACGTCGGAACTTTCACGTGTAGTAGCTAGCCACCAAAGGATGACCTAGTTAAGTAAATAGCAGCGTTATACACAGGCTTTAAGAACATCTTTGAATGGCCACAACGTGCACTTTACTCTTAAAAAAACGCTGTATACCAAACAATGCATGCACCTAAATCAATCTAAGAGATGCACTTTGCAAATATGTCCACAATATTTTCAAGCACCCGGTACGTGCATACGTTCTTAACTTGTTTAAACACACACATTATCACTTAAATGCGCGCAACTACTTCGGATCTTTCGGTCACTTAAAAGAACGATTCTGGATCTTCTGGCTTGTTTCGAATCAGTTTAATCAAAGCATTCTTTTACATTGGTAGCTTTCTTATCAGGACACATACGCATCGAGATAAGTTTCTGTATGGATGCTGTGTTGGTAACCGCCAGCACAAGCGAAGATCACCGCCCTAATGGCAGGATTTGGCTGTTATCAAATCCCGCACTCGCGTTCAGTGGCGCGGTATAAGCTCATTTCACACGACAGTGCTGCACCGGCAGCAGTCGTGATTAAAATTCAATTTTCCAACGGGATTGCGTCTGGGGGAGCTGTACCTAAACATGGGGCGCGAACAAATAATGGTGGGATGGTGGCTCTAAGTCAGAATTGGGCAGACGGAGGGAAATATTATGCATTGTGGATCATGTCACCCCTAAAAAAGAGGCAGTGAGAAGAGAGCATTGCAAGAACGTTTTGCTGGTGTCACAAAGACGTAAGAAAATGGCTTGCTCACTCACTGGATGAATGACACGAAGTGATGGTAACTTTGGACGAATAGCTGATGTGATGGGGGTAGATGCTATAGTGTCCTAACATGTGATTTAGGGAGCAAGCAACGATCCAGTCATCATCTACCAGGCATTGCTTGCTTTATCCCAAAACTTTCCGAAAAGATTTACATGTTAGCAATATAATTGTCTCCTCACATTCTGCTTTTCGACCAGTATAGCATTGTTCCTCTCCAGTATGTCTCCGATGAGTTCTGCCAATGTGTTCCTCACCAAACGAAACCGTCACAAACCATCGCCACGTCATCGGTTCCAGAGCACGCCGACCTCAGACGGGTGCCCGGCCATCCAGTCCGCCAGAGCCCCTGGCAACGGACTCCGTGGCCGCGGGCGGGGCGGGAGCCGACCAGGCCAGCGGCCTCGGACGTCGCCCCCTCGGTGATGGCCGGCAGGCCCCGGCCGCGTTTGAGCCGGAGCATCTATTGCCTCGGCTGCCGCATGTCGGCCAGGATGAATGGAGTTGAACACGCGGCCGCGAAACTAAGCCATCCATTGCCTGCTGCGGCCTGGACAGAATGAATGGCGGCTGTTAAGGAGTGGAGCCCAGGCATATTGCATACGCACCCTCTGGCTGCAAACGGGAAGCTGAAAAGGTCGCGCGGCAAGCGCTGGATTTCATGCAATGACAACCGGTTCTGAACCATGAGGGCACAAGGTAAAGTTCCCTTTGTGACGCAAAACAACTGCCTTCACGACCGCTTCTGATGTCACGGGAAGAATGGCTCGTGCGTTTTCTATTTGGGAAGACAAGCGCTCCTATCGGGAGGCTGCTCCCTTTGGCTGGTTGTTGACATTTTCTGTATGCCAGGGAATTTCTGCCGTGAAAATGTGCAGTAGGTGATTACAATAGGCGTTAAAAGTCACCTTGTTATCAGCCGAAGGCCCACTGGAGCTTTCTACGTGATTTAACGTGCTCGGCTGCAGCCTGTATTGTAGAAAGCCTCCTGCTTTCAAGAGCTGTAGTCCGGCGTTTGCTTCCAAGAAGACCATCCGAAATGGAAATCCAGCTGCCACGTGTCGCGGCTGTTTTCTAACTTAACGGCTTACATCACATCCCAACGAGATTTTCCACACGCCATTTTGATTCGCAAAGACGACAGAGGAAATGGCTGTTTTCCGTATGTGAAATCGCATTCAGAGTCAGCATCTCAAGGTCTACTTTTCGTTCCGGCCAGACAGCTGGTAGAGGCTGCGCAAAAAGGTTTCCACCCTGAAGCAATGTCACGAGTCGCGCGAAGATCCTGAATGTGTTGTCCCTAGTCTTCTCACATGGCGTCTAGTCTTTCCTACCAAGACGTCGCAGCTGTCTTTCACTGCCACTCACGCACGTGCTCTGCGGATTTTATCGTCACGAAGTGAATTTGAACGGTGCAACGTGTACTGCTACAATTGGCTGTCTGATACCATGTCCAGCTCACACCACACATGAGTGTAGCGTGGCTCAAATATTTGACTCTGGTCAGCTTTTCAGCTACAATAATCCCTGTTTGCAGACCACTCATGCAGCCATTACTGGTGGAATAATTATGACAACGTAGCCACACATGTGCGCAATTCCAGTCGGTACAGCTAAAAAAATGGATAGCCGACTCAAGTGCGGGCACAGTCTTGCGCATTTATATGGAGCGAATCTGAAAGTAAAAGAAGCTCTGCTCTTTTTCGTGGGCCACCATGCGCATTTTATCTAAAGCAGCAGTGTCTGGAACGATTAGCCTGGTGAATAAATCACCCATGGATAAGACTTCACGTCGTAAGTGTTTTACGAAGCATGATATATCGCGCAGCAGCCCCACCCGCGCTTCAACGTTTCCCGTCGTCCGCACCCCATGCAGCTGATCGCTCGGAGCCACAAATCCTCACGTGTCATATTTACCCCACGGCACTCGACGCCCCTTATGGATCCAATAAATTTCGCGTATCCCACATATCTCACAGATTTCCACACATCTTACGAGTCTGGACGTCCTACTAATGCCCCGGATACCCACTGCACTGCGCTGATCACCGTATACCAAAGTATTTGCGCGGTTGCCCAATGGACGCGTATCCATCGGATCCCAACGGTCTCCACTCACGCGGGGCAGAGCAGGTTGTGCACGAGAGCCTCCTTGTCCTTGAAGCAGCCGAGGTGTGTCATGGCCCGCAGGACGTCCGTGTCGAGCAGCTCGGAGCCGGGGATCACATGCGTCTGCACCACCTCCATCATGGGCGGCTCCAGCTCCAGTTCACCCTTCGAGCCGGCCACCACCCACTGGTGCCGGTTAATCTCGCGCAGCTGAAGCACAACGACGGCGGCGTCAGGGCGAGAGGGCGCACCGAAAAGTGGCATCACACCGATTAGAAACGTCAAATGTGCTGACTGGTGACCCCGCAGCACTGAGGTGCGCCACGTCGTACCGAAGAGTCAGAACGCTCGGATTCTTCAATACCAGCGTCTTCCGGAGCAAAGCTGAAACAAAGGGACCAATGGCGCTGCAGCGCTGAAAGACAGGGGCCAATGATATCACAGCCCTGAAATACAGAGGCCAACGGGGGTACAACGCTAAAAATAAGGAACCAATGGCGCCATGGTGGCAATATTTGATGAGTGCGATCATGCAGCTGAATCACAAGGAGTGGTTTCACAGTGGCACCGCAAAACAACGGTGCTGAAATTCGCCGACGTTCGTGGGTGATGTCGCAATGAACCTGTTGGCGGTGGTCACCATGTTGATAATCACATTACGTCATTGATTACGCGCATTTGAGACCACCCCTCCATAATGTATGCGCCTGAGGTACATGTTAATGTGAGTGCAGTTAAGTACGAGTGAAACATTATGTAGAGCTGTATTACTTCACTTGATCTTACACGATTTCGTTTGTCTTTTACTCGAGTCCGGAAAGTACTGCAACAATAGTAAAACTAGTCTTGCACAGCTCGCGGGACTATCAAATTGCAGGCCTTCTCACAATTTCCGCACAGGTTTGCGGTCATGACACTGCATTTCACCGTGAGCTCCCTTCCAAAGTCCCAACGGGGGTTCATGGTAATGCAGGTCAAGGGGTTGTGCTTGAAGGACACTGTCCGTAAGAAACACGTGAGTAGAAGAGGAAAAAACACCCACTGGAGAAAAAAGACAGAGTTGCCATTATGTCTTCTTTTTAAAACATTCGGCAGAGCACCATTCTTTTTTCGATGTCATTTGTTTCCAAGCGGTGGCGTTCTTTTTTATAACTTTGACTCATTGCCTAGCTATAAGGAAAAATCCCCGTTGACGAGGAGTGCCGCAAAACCCGAAAGTGCTCACATTTACGGTCGCGACACGCATTCAGCAGCGAAATCTTACTAACAGCAAATCACATTCCGCGGATTGTATCATATGAGCCGCATCATCGCTTTTGCGAATGTGTCAGCGGCCATGCTGTTTTTGACCATAAGCAGAAAACAGCCTGCAATATCACGGCGATCGTATGACGTTTCTATGGCATCATCATTGCGGAGGTGGCTTTGAAATAGTCCCTCAATAAGCCTTTTGCTACTTTTGCGGGCGTATAACTCAGGAACCAGAGGGCTTTGTATCTTAAAAAGGGTGTGGCCGTGAACCGCATCAAAAGGTCCTCAAGGTGACTTTTTCAGTTCAAAACCTCATATGAGGGTAGAGCATTCCCTTTAACAGCCTAAACGCAATCTCGCCTGAAGAGAGCAGTTTTGTCGTAGTTCAGTGATTTCTGCAACTGTCTGCAGACATTGCAGACATTTATTATTTATTTCATTTGTTATGCAGAAACTGCAGAAAATTTATGTACAGTGATTTCTGCAGTTTGTCGTTATTCTATTTTGGCACCCGAAGTAAAGAGTGTATCGTAATAGTGCAGATAAAGGACTTAAATGGAAATTATTTCAGTGATTTTAGCAACACGTTCCCTGTCACGTCGTAGAAGCTGTTCAGCGCCGTCTCGCGTGCCTTTCTGGTAACGGAACTCATGCAGAATCTCTTTGGCGGACGAATTAGTATTAATGGTTCTTGTAAGTGGAAGTGGCAAAGCGGTTGAACAGCAATATCGTCACCCTGCTCTGCAATGATGTTTGAAAGTTTCAACGCGTGAAGACATTAGCGCGCGGGAAGAAATTACTGGATTGGCCTGCTGTTTCTATAGCGTTTAATTGACCTTTCCCAGTCTCCAACGACCCTACCTGGCTTCTCATGAAACTTTATACGTCGGACTTTGTGAAGTACTTTTGAAGTCACGGGGGAAACTCTACGCTGATTTTCGTGCCGGTACTTCATGGCGCAGTTGACTGACTTTTGAACTCGGTGCTCTATCCTAGCCCAATATCAACACCCAATGTTTCATGCCGTCTTTGTGATGCAGGGCTTGAGTGTGCGTTTCCGCCCGTATCGGGAGCAAGTAAAACATGTCTGGGGCACAACACTAAATTGTGGAAATAATTGTGGCGTCTTTACACGTCATATTTCCCCGGACGCGAGAGGAGAGACTATCACCGGGCCACTGCGCTCGACAATGGCTGGTAAGTTAAACGTCCCTAGTGTAGTCACATTAGGTTAAACGGCGGTGGTAAAGTTAGCCGATATCCCGATGCCGCGGGTCAGTGTTCACGCGACAAGCTCCGCCCAGCCAGAACTCTGATACCAGCGCCACTCGCGTGGGCAACTCATACGGCTTGATTTGTGGAGACAATTAGGCTGCTTTCACAACTTGCACGAACTCAACGCTAATTGTGAGTTCGCTAAGCACATACACATGCATATCCCCACATTCCTGGGCCTGTACGCCTGAGTTATATTTTTTAAAGGTGGAAAACATGAGATCCGATTAAAAATAAAGAGGAAAAGATTATTACATGATTGAAAGAGCAGCAATGCAATTCTCAAAAATATGTTTTGGTCTCCCAAAACAAAAACGTCGGAGTGGTAACCAAGGAACTGCGCTGTGCGTTGAAATACAAACTCATTATGTTGTGCAAGGACGAGTTTTCAATAAGAAAGACTGCTAACAACAAGAAATACGCTTACAGTTTCGGGTGCCATTCTTGGCTCAAAAGAGCTGTGCGGGGCCGCTCCGGCGTCCCTAAATATACCATCGGAAATGCCCCAGCGATCCGGCCGGACCAGCGATTTAGTTTACGAGATCCAATCACCATGAGAGATATCGAAGCGACCGATATAGCCTCATGAGGTCGGCCTGGTGCTCTCCTAGACCTGCCTCGTCAGGGCCGGGCCGGGCCGAGCGGATTTCCGCCGGCCCGGGTCCGCTGATGGTCCCTTCTTCCGGGGACGAGCGTGCCAGGCCAGCACAGGCCTCGTCCTCCCAAACGACGCTACCATGGGGCGATGTCTGCTGGTTCATCATTGGGTATGACAAGCCTTATCTCCACGTTCTGAATCCGTATCCAAAGTCCCCTCTTTCACTCCATGTTTCTGGCCTCAGTCTCTTTTTCTGACACCCCTGATGGCCCGCGCGACAGCGGCGTCAACGAAGATTCTCCGAGCCCATCCGCAGGCAGCAGACTCGCTTCCGCGCTGTGTGAGCCACGCTCGCGGCGAGATCCCAGCGTGGGCCATGCGCTTTTACTCAGGTTTTTGTCTGATTCCAAACGGGCATGCCGTCGCTGCCTAGCCTTTAGGGAGGGTGGACACGATGGGTTACTTTATGATGATGCGATGTTAATGGTGAGCTCATCGCATGGCGACGGCGGACCATGGCGACGAACTTGACAGAACTTTACGCGTCTCATTTGCTCTGCACATGACTTGTGAGACAGCCGCACCCAGTGAACCGCACAGATTCCTGTCTGCCGAATCTGCGGAGCCTGTCTTTGCTCTGGGAATTAAAGCAAACTTGGAAAATCAGGCGAACGTGATTCTTTCGGTCGACAATATGTTCCCCCAATGTATCTCACTAAATTGCGGTGATAATTTCACCACAGCTACAATGGGAAGACTGGGAGAGTTTCTCCCATGAGCCGTTGTCCGTGGCACGGTACTAAATGCTGCATCACTGCTGCCCATGCGCTTATGGGCAATCTGGGGTGGACAGCTAAATACGACGAGGCCATGATTCCAAGCCACGATTGGGGCAGAGCCGGCTGATAGCGCTGTTCGAGTGGCCTCCGACATTTGGTGGCATCGATCCGCACCCTGCGTTGGCCGAGTCTAAAATTCGCGACCGTCCGAGCAGAATGACTAGATTTTCAAAAACGCGACGCGCTGCCAGGTGGTACACAGAATCAGGTCCCCCGGGGCCTGTGCAAGGGTCGCGTGCGCGTGGTGTGCGTGTTCAGCGTCCATCGATTCACCGCCGCAGACAATGTCCCGTGCCAAAGAAGCAGTCAGGCAGAAGCCTTTAGGGCATCAGTCTCCGTATTAACCGGCGTAACGCAGACCGGTGCACCCTCCAGTTAGACAAGAGAATTATCAGTCCTTTGCTGATGTTTCGAGAGAGACTTGTCACGACGGCGCTAAATTAGTTGACCGCTCCCCGACGAAGCCCTCCCAGACCATTTGTAACGACTTACATGAGCCTGGGGCAACAAGGAAGCAATCACTCAAGACCAAGAGCAGTAAGGTAATAATGCTTGAGTGTTTCTAGAAAAAGTTGATCTTGCGATTTAACCTAAGCATCTCGACGTGGCTTGCGCCACCTCTCTCCGCAAATGGCTCACGTTGCGTAAGTTTGCTTCTTCACTGCATGTTTGCGACGCTGGGGTATGCGGATGATTAGGAAAGCGTACATTATAGATTCTTCCCCGAAACAGGTCTGGCAGGGGCGGTACCACCCGAGGAGGAAGACGGAAGTTGCGTCCGTCCAATGACCTTGAAATGCATCATGACACCAAGATAGTTTGTTGTGGTGAAAAAGTAAAACGAAAGTTATCTTCGAGAGCTTCGACTTTAAGACGTATATACGCTTGTAAACTCCGCGCAGACACATTTCAGCAAGTAAACATTAGATTCAGTTCAGAAAATAAGCCCAGTTGTCTCGGATTGCTTTTCAAGACATCAGATTCGCGATTTGGAACATCTATGTTTGCGGCATCCTTCCATCCGGCTGTGACTGGACTTTTTACCAAACACTATAAAGTATATTACAACAAAATCTAGACGTCATAATCAACATATGCAACCAGATCTACAAAGCTCACGTTAGGACATGCAGCCAAAACGTGCGGGCAGTGAGCTCATAGATCGAATTAATTGGGTCGTACAGTATGTCCACTGCAACGGTTAGCATCTAAAAAACTAAGAACACGCGTACCGCTGACAACTTGTG